CAGTTTAAGGGCTGGATTCTGCAGAGTGGGCACAAGGTGGACACAGAAGCATCATAAAAGCATCTGTTAAATTTTAAATGTCGCCAGCTTGCAAAACCAATGTGGGAGAAAGGAATACTGAGAATGGCATGCTGCTCCACAGAGTATTTCTCTCCAGCGTTACAGTCTCATTGCACTGAAGGAAATGGCTTTTTATTTGCAGCAAGGACTAAATATGATCTTTGTTGCAGCACCCAAACCATGGCAGGGGGCAGGTCATAGGAGCCAATGTGTTGGTGGAAGCAGGTTCTCTCTCACAGGAGACCGCTCCCACAGCACTTGAGGACTATATCCAACATTACTGCAACTTTAATACTGTACCTTTGATAGAGGTATAAATTAAGCAAGATGTGATACACCAGGTTGGCCTGGTCTCAGCTGCATCCCTAGCCACCAGCCCATCCCTGGGGGAGGATGCACTTCTCCCCCTCCCCAGAAGCCCCACACAGGGGTCTCCTTGCCTGGAGCAGGCTGCGAGGCAGAGTCTATGGCACGTATATTTTGTTCATATGGAAAGTCTGACAGGCAGCTTGTAGAGCCTGTGCCTCCACCCAGAGCAGGCAAGGAGACATGGGCAGCAAACCCACCATCACTCCATCCACCACCTGCACACATCACTTTGCTGTGCCAGCAGTACATCCCTCATGGAGATTTGTTAACTCATCATCTGGGGATTTCATCAGAACAAGATTTCTCCTTGCAAAAAAGGAACTCCAGCAATGTCTTCTATAAGAGGTCAGGCACTGGCTTACTCAGTACCTCAGTACTCAACACTGGGCACCCCTCCTTCTTATGCACAGCTCAGGCCCCTCTGCCTGTTTAAATTATTTAAATCACAAGCTCCTTGCTGCAGGCTTTTTATTTTCTGCTAAGTATTTGCACAGGAACCAGACATCCTGGGCCTCAGCATCCGTCTGGAGTCCTCAGTTTGGCCCTGCAGATTCATAAACCAGAGGCACTTTGCATTTAGAGCGGTGCATCATTTATTGATGCTTTGCACGCTCAATTCCCTCACTGACACAAACCACCCAGGAGGTTGTTCCTGCCACATTTCCTCTCCAGCTGATATTCTACCTGCTGTGAAACACATCAATCAACCATGAGATATTTTGCATTTACCAGGCTCTTTCTGCAAGGGGCTACCAGCAGCCTACCAGCTCAACTTTCAGCTGCAGAGGGCTAAATGCTCTGTCCCCAGTGCTGCCACAGATGTGCTGCAAATCACAAGCACCTTGTCCCAGTCGTGTCTCTCTGCTGTGAAATGCTGTGGTTGGGCCCCTTGGGTGATTATTCCAGGGCCACACTGCAAAGGACAAGCACCCAGAGAAAGACCCCACGTACCCCAACCCTTCGCATTTTGCAGATGTTGCACCACCTGAGCTAGCTCTGGTCCAGCCAGGCTGGGCCAGTATCTCTGTGCTTAGCAAGGATTTAGCCCTTCTGAAAAATGGAAATAACTAGAAAGGGTCTTTTATTGATATTTTCATGCATGCTGAAGCATGCACCAAATTACTACCTTTCATAAGAAAATAAAAAAACCCACAGCTATAGCAGAGACAGATAGTTGGTTATAAAAACAAGGCGGCTTTAGCTAATCAGTCTCTTCCTCACAGTGTGGATTAGGTCAATTAGCCATTTATTGCACTTCAGGATGACAACAATCCTGTGGGCTCAGTAAAGAGTGGGGGGTTTTTTAAGGAAGCAGCATGATACTGCTTCCCTTCCCAGCTCATCAGCATCAAAACAAGCTTGGATCTTACTCCATATATAATCAATGTTCCCCATGCTGCAGTGGGCTGCTTCTGGTCAGAAGATTTTAAATCACCCTAGAATAAAGATTCAAGTACTGTAAATCACTGCTATTAGAATATTAAAGTTGACTGAGGTTATTTCTTGTCAAAGAGGGGAGGAAATGGCCATCATAAAAAAAGTCCATAAAACATCCAAGCCCAGTTTGGTTAGTTATCTCCACCAGAGCTACACAGCTCTGCACATGAAAGAAACTAGTCTGTGGGAGAAGATTTACGCCTTCAGCAACAAAAATGTAATTGGAAATCATTCTGCGCATATTGAAGAACCCACACCGAGGGGAATCAAAGCAATAGGCGAGGAACGAGAGAGGCATGAAAGGGCTGATGCCACGTGCTCTGGAAGGCTCGTCCCAGCTGCGTTATCTCGGAAGAGTTTGCACAAGCCCTATTTGGGTTTTGAAGGTGATTACTCATTTAAAATCAGAGTTACATTCCTGGAGGCGTTGGGAGCAGGCAAGAGGGCTGGTGGTGGTTACCCCCCCAAGCATGGGCTGTGCTGGAAAAGCAAGGAAGCCACAGAGAGCACTGCTGGGAACAGCAAGCTGCTCAAAAATACTTTGGCCAAAAGCATTGCTTGCTGCTCACCAGTCCTTTGGAAAGGAGCAGAGGACTGAGAATGCTCCTCCAAAACTGCCCAAATGCTCCCCCAAAACTGCTGCAGAGGAAAGGCCAAAAATTGACCTAAAGGATGAAGGGGACAGTGGGGGAGGGAGTAGCAGCTGAGCTGGCATGAGGGTTGCCCCCAGCAATGCAACCACACTGAATTATTGCACTGCAACTGACTTTGCATTTGGGCACAAAGGTTTTGGCACTTTCCTATGGTTCAGCACACCTCATTTCATCAGCGGGAAAGGAGGTGGCTCCTGAGCTTGTGCAGGGACCACTCGTGTCCTCAGAAGCACAAAGAATCCCATTAACTGGGAACACATCGCCAGTAGCTGCTATTGTCAAGGAAACTAATAGACCTTATTATCAGTATTCATGTATTAATGCTCATGAGGAAGGGAAAAAAACCACCTAATATAACCTTTTGTCGTGCTTTCACCCCAGCCAGCAATTAAGCCACTTGTTCACTCCCCCCATCAGTGGGATGGGGGAGAAAATCAGGAGGGGGAATAAAAAAAAAAAAATTAAAACCCATGGGTTGAGATGAAGACAATTTAATAGGACAGAAAATGAAGGGAAAATAATAGAATATACAAAACAAGTGACGCACAATACAATTGCTTACCACCCACTGACTGATGCCCAGCCAACCCCCAAGCCATGGTGTCCCCCAGCCAACTCCCCCCCCGTTTATATACTGGGCATGACATCATATGGTGTGGAATACCCCTTCAGCCTGTCTGGGTCAGCTGTCCTTGCTGGGTCCCCTCCCAGCTTCTTGTGATCCCCTGCCTCCTCTGGCAGAGCAGTATGAGAAGCTGAAAAGTCCTTGACTTAGTGTAAACACTGCTTAGCAACAACTAAAACATCAGTGTGTTATCAACATTACTCTCATCCTAAATTCAACAGTATTATACCAGCTACTAGGAAGAAAATTAACTTTATTCCAGTGGAAACCAGGATACCTCTCCAGTGTAATGTTCCTATATGAGCAACAGATTTAATCTCTTCCCAACCTCATTGGTACATCCTGGAAACATCGTGGAGTGATTCCACTCTTCCTTCACTCCGGGGGCAGCTGGGTTTTTATCTGCCTAGGGACCGTATTCCACCAGGAGATTATACACAGCAAGAGATGAAGATCTTTCCAGCTCTACTAAATATCTTTAGCATTAAATTCTGAAGGACAAACAGGAAACCAGATCTGTCACTCACAGTCCTTTGACAGCCTCCAGCGATGCAAGTCTCACTGCTTCACACAAGCAGGCCCCATCTTCACAAAATATTTTCAAATGCTCAACAGCTGTAAGCAAAAGAGCTGATGACCCTGCAATACCACAACCTGCTGGGCTTTGGAGAGTCAGCCTTTCCTTTCCATGCTTTGAGGGAATAGAGGTCTTCTAAGATGACGTGGAATTAAAGGTCTGATGGGGATCACTCCCCTCCCTTGCAGCACCCCACAACAAGTGATTGTACACTTTCAAGACATGGGTTTTCACACACCCAGGCAGCACATCATGACTGCTACTTATCACACAAAGCTAGCTAAAAAATAAGAAAGGTTTTGGTCCTATTTACATGTGCATGGTCGAGGACAGCTTGTCCAGGAGGAAGGCAAAGCAAGAAGTAACCACCATCTCCCGGCACAGATCACAGCCACGGTCTCCACTTTGAGCCCACTGCAATAGCCTGGGAAATGCCACGCTGAGCTACAAACCCCACAGACTTTCTCATAAATGTGAGTATCTGCAGCTAGTGACTGCTAGGTTCAGGTTCATAGCCAGGAGACAGGGAAATATTAGTGCGGGGCTGCCCACTTATTTCACCCCACCGCAGTCCACACTGTGCTGGTTCCAGAAAAGCTCCTCCAAATCCACACAGCTGCAATCCCTTCCTCACAAGGATCAAGCCCTGGGGGCAGATTGAGGCCCCTCTCCCCAGTGCATACAGCCCAACACATCCCTTTCTCTCACATTCTCGCTCATTTTACTTACACACATCGCGCTCACCCTTAGGACAAATAGTATTTTTTCCCCTTCCACATCTTTCCTCTTTATTCAGAGGAAAAACTGAATACCAGGTACGCAGGAGAGTGTCTTGGCAGGGCAGGCACAGGGTTGTGTCTGCACTTGCTAAAGGACTGGGGGTTTCCCTGATGCAGCCCCAGCTCTGCCTCAGCAAAACCCAACTTGTGCTATATTTATTTTCATTTACTTCTAAGCTTTAAGAAAGAAATACATATTTGAAGGGCTGGAGCGCATGGAGGATTTCCCATGTGCTCCCCAGGAATGCACAGCACTGCAGGGGAGAACTGAAATAGTAATTAAACTGGAAGAGGTGGCGGGTACCGGCTGTTTTTTTTTTTCTTACATCCATATTTTGCAGCCTCTGGGTTGTAAGAAGCAGGTTTGTGGGAAATGGCTGTTATGGGGAATGGTTGAATGCGAAATAATCACAACTGCTGCAAAAGAAGGTGGGTTTTCAATTTGAAAAACATGTTTTTCAAACAAGAAAAAGCTGACATAGTTGAAAACCCAGAGAGCAGCAGGTTAGCTGACTTCTATTGTCATTGTAAGTATTTATTAGAAAATGTGATGCAAGGGGAGAGTGAAGAGTGCTTCGTAGGGGCAGAGAAGGATTTCTATGCTTGTCATGGAAGACGTCTAGTGAGTGCCCTCCTGAGCAGACACTGCTGTTCCTGGGTGTGGTGAGCTGCCCAGGGCGAAGCTACATCAAAATCTCAGTGGAAAACCCAGTATCTAAAATTTAGGAATGCTAGGCTGCCATTTTCCTGAGCAGACAGGTCCAGAGGAGAGCCACCAACCCTATGTACACCCCAAGGCCTCTCATTCCAAAATCACGAGTCAGGTCATATACAAAATCGGGCCTTTTCCACCTAAAACGTAACTCAACAGCTGGGGAGTGATTTTGAAGGCTGTGAGCAAGGCCGTAACAAAACTGGTGTCAATACTCTGGTTATTGTGAGGAAAATCAACTCTTGCAAGAGTGCTTCAGCTGCAGCTGGTTTAATAGAGGAGAAACCAGCAGGACATATGGAAGATGTTTGCAGGATACACTTTTCCCATGGAGAAGGTGACTCTGATGGGGTTACACTGAAGAACACAAAAAGGAAGAAGGTTGAGACCTGGGCAAATCTCACCCACAACATCTGAGATTAAAACAACATCTGCATAAAAGTCTAGGAGGCTAAAATTTTCAGTTGCTCCCACACTATCTGAAGCCTGATATTTTTTCCCCTTATTAATATGAAAAAAAGTCCCAGCTAAAGGAATCTTTTGCATTATTTATTGGCAGCTCATGCTGGTGTGTTTAACAGTGGCCCTGGAGATACTGAATAGTCTGCTTGAGCTCAGCTGATAGGGGAAAATGCATATAGCAGCATCTGGAAAAGTAACTATTATCCCTCAAGGACTACCTGTGTTACATACAAAGCACAGTTAGGGACCAGAAGGGCTTTAGCTCTTGCTGATCAAGGAGATTTGAACCAAAATTACATTGCAGTTCAGATGTGTGCAGTTCTTGTTGGAATCATTTTCCTTGGTGAAGTGATAAGGCCAATGCCAAAATACTTTGGGGCCCAGGAAAAAAAAGTGTCAGATGCCAAGTACTGAGCACTGGGGAGGACCAGCCTCCCACAAGCAGAGACGGATGGATCAGGCCACCCTCCCCTTCCAGCCCATGAATTATCTTCTGCATTTCAATGAGCAAATAGTCCACAATTTCAATTGTGAAATTTCCCTTTTACTACAACAATTTTTTTAGAAAATCTGATGTATCCTATTGTTTTGATGCTTATGGCAATACTACAGGTCTTGGCCAGGATCAGGGCTCTCTTGCAGCAGATGCTGTACAAAGATGACAGCCCCTGCCCATGACAACAGGCAGCACAGCATCCTTCCACCCTGCACTCAAAACTAATGACCAGCAGAAGTGACTCCCAGCTTACTTCTTTAAAGAAGTTGGGTTTGAAGACCAGTTTCCTTAAACTGTCAGGATTAATACTGGCTTTGGAAACATCTTCACAGATTTTCCTATTCAAACCATGTGTCCTGGACTACTAAGAGCGACGAGAGAAAGCCTGCAAGGGTCGTATAGCAGCTCTCAGCCTCCAAGTACTAAACTGGCAGATCAGCCTTCAGAGGTCACAGCTAAATTGAGTAGATTTCATTGATTGACCATTAATTGCCTGCCCAGCAGAAAGCTACTGCATGATAGACGAGCAGTTAATTTACAACAGATTGCACACAAGAAGCTTTATTACAGAGAAAGGCAGGAGTAATTGGCCAGACAGTAGCAACTACTGCTCTTCTGCTACCTTAGATGGTTGAGCTTATAACCAAACTTAGCTCCTTTTTCAGATGCTGCAATAACCAATATCTCCAAACAACATCATCAAAAAATGACAAAAAAAGAGCTGTACATCCAAAATACATGATTTATATTGAGCTGAATGCTTGCCGGAAATAAAATGCGGATGTTAGCTGAGCAGCCACAATCACTAAGCTGGCAGGGAAAGAAATTATTCAATCTTGTGCATTACCATTAACAAATGTTAGCGCAGAACTTGTTCACAAGGATGAACTGCAAGAGCTTTGCTAACTACTGGAAGGGACAGGAGGAACCCTGGATTGCAAGCTGGCATGGCAGGACACGTATTTAGGAATACAGTGTCAACCTTTTGCATGAAAACTGCCTAAGTCCATGGCTCAATTACTCCTAACTGATGGGGAATTGGAGATGCTCTGTTCATAGTCCCTTCTGGCAGTTTTGGGCTTACATTTTCTATCTTCTACCTTTGGCTTAGTTTATGGTTTTACATAAAATTGAAGACCTGATTTAATAGAGTCAGAAAAAATAAAACCTGTTCACCACCACCTTTAATTATTTGTGCAGTTTTCTAAATTCATTCTCCAGGTTTTCTGCCTCCTAATAGCTTATTGATTCCATAGCTCCTGTGCCATCTTTCATTATTCTCTGCTATTTTATTAATTCAATCTGAGGAGAAAATAAACCTGTGGAGTCTATAGAGCATCCTTCAAGAAGGGTTTGCTTAGCTGCCTCTGGCAGGTTTAGCTGAGCAATGAGGTGCCAGTTTCAGTAACCCTGTTTCACACTGCACTCCTCTGAATTGTTAGCAGAAGCAAGAATAAGAGTTCAAGGCCACTGCTTTGTGCTGTATCAAGAAGGGGAGAACAATCAATATATAACTCACTGAATATTTGGCCCATGCATTTATCACTGTTTTTCTCTAAGTAAGGCTTTTCTATTTCTGGCTCTCCTCATGGCTTGCTGTGGTACAGGTCATCCATGTCCTTCCCCAGGTGAAACCAGATCCACCCTTTGGTCCGTGCAAGCCTTTGTGGAGGTGCTCTGTGACTAGGATTTTGCATTGCAAGCAGCAGCTGAAGGCCTCTGCCAGCAGCAGGACCACAGGCAACAGCAATAGGCATGCTAAACACAATGTGAAGGTTGCAGCTACATGATTAGACTCAAAGCACCTTATTACATGCATGCCTGTCCTACAGGTATAAACTCCTGGAACAAATATACAGAGAAGCAGATATATATGGAGAACTACAAGAATTTATATGGAAAGCTACAAGTTAAAGGAGAGGACATTGTCTATAACAAATATGGAAAATTCAGCTGCATCACCATGGGAATGAGCCTCCCCTTTCCTCTTTTGCAGTTGTCTCTTGTCTTGCTGCTACCTCCAGGTAAGACCAGCAATTCCAGCTTGTTTTACATAAATGAAATATAAGGCAATAAAGAATTGATCTCTGAGCACCATGCACATCCTGCTCTGGTACTTGCTAACCTGGCTGTTACCAAACTCCTGTGGAATCCTGCACATAAAGATGCAGGCAGATTTTCAAACACACAAAGTAAAAGGCATCCACTCCAGACAGTGTGCCTTTACACATCAGTTTCCAATAGGAAGAGAACTTCACCATTACTTTTTTGTTTTATTTCTTCTCTTTCACTGTACACACCTGCTTGTTAAATTATGAATGTAAAGGCTAAGTATTTTTCCAGTGGCTCTGGGGAAGCTGCACTTTCTTGCAAACTCAGAGCTCCCCTCTGCCACATACACTGGGAACAGCATAGATCTGCAAGCTAAAATGGAAAACTTGGCCTTTCTTTGTGCCTTTCACATTCTCCATTTGCCATGAAAACCTGCCAACTATGTTCAGGTTCTTTTCAAGAGAGGGAAAGGAAAAGATAATCAGGCAAATTATAAGGGGGAGATTTTCAAAAGAACAAAGCACCTCCTCCTCCCTTCAAGCAGCTGGAGAGGCTTTGCAAGCATGCTTAAAGCCAACTGGGTGATATGCATTTTCCCAACACCTGGCAAAAGTTACTGTAAAAATCACTCCGCTGTTCCGCCAGGAAAAAGAAACCAAAGGAGCAGAACAGCTTAAGGCATTGCAACACTCTGGAGATACAGGCTGTATTTCACTACTGCTCATTTCTAACCTCAGCTCACATCAGCAGTATGTCAGGCCTGTTCAGTAAATTGGTGGCATGGGAAGATGTTTGCAATGTGCTAAATGAACCAAGTCCCCAGAGTTGCTGAGAGAAAACCTGGCTTCCCATCCCAGAGGTAGTTAAATTCAGTCTTCTGCCTGTCTCTCGCTGCTGAAACTGTCCTCATTCTAGCTCATTAACCTGAGTGGATATTGCTTCTTTAAGCGATAATACTAATCAGGAAGTGGTAGAAGGCAAGAGCTATTTTCCCCACACCTACACAACATGCAGTACACACGCACAATGGAACAGCAGCTTTAATTTAGGTGGTGATTTTCATATAAACTACATCTTGCAGACTGATCTTAGCAGCCCAGGTTTGCACATCAGCAAAATTACCTGACAGGCAAAGTCTGCTCCAACTCCACATGTGCCAAGCAAGCCTCATTTAAAAGTTAGTCTCACACAAATTCAGCACATCTCACACAAAAGGGATTAGACCAGCATTCTCTGATGATAAGAGCCAAGCAAGTCAAGTAATTGCCAATACCTGAAAGAAAAAAAGCTCCAGATCAGGGTATTTCTGAAGTAATGCCATGGACTCACAACAAAACACTGCCTATGCTGTACAACTCTTACATATTTAAGCATCTAGAGGCCCTGTGTATTCCTCCAAATCATCCATTTCTTTTCCCTTTCCCTCCTAGCCCACCGAAACTTCTTCCAATATAACAGACACCAACAGCCTCCTCTAGAACTCCCTCCATGCACCAGGATCAGTATTTTCCCACGACCATCAATTATTTCCTTCTCCCTCCCTAATTTCTAGAAAAATCCAAAGAGTGTGATTAGACACCAGCTTCTCTGGGAAATCATAATTATTCCTACCTGCTTTAGTTTCCTCTTCTAATGGATGTCGGTACCACCTCTTCTTCCTCTTGCAACTATGACCTTCTGCCTGCCAGTCTGCAACTCCAAAGGCTTCTTGCTTAATCATTGATCAGAAATGCAGCCTTCTCTCCTCAAAACCACCTAGCACTGCCCAGAAGTTTGCTGTCTTATCCTTGGAGATTGCTGCCCACAGAGTGTCAAGAGGCAGAAGAAATCAGATAAACAGCCTTATTTTCATGAAGTACTAGATTCTGCTAAGGGAAGAAAGAAAGTTTAAAAAAAAAACCCACAACAAAAAAAAATCCCCAACAATCCTTGCCCTGTACCTGAGCTATCTGGGGGAATATTAAATGGGGTTGGATGTTTAAAGTTAAATGGAGGTAAACAGCCTCACCTGGGGCTCCCAACGAGCGCCAGCTATTTAATCAATAAGGGTGAGCAAATGTCCTGACCTCGTTCAAGCCACGCCCTGCATCAATCTGCAAGCAGCCTCAAGGCTTTTAAATGAGATTATTCAAGCTCTAACATTGTTCAACACAGATTGGGCCACCCCTTCTTGCAAGGACCTGCAGACCTTTCTGCTTAACAGGTGATCAGATTTTCAGGGGCTGTAGGGGGGAATGAGGGGAATTGCCAGGCTCATTGGATGCAATTTGAATGCCTTTAAGACCTGCCTGTGAAAGATAAACCTACAGGATTTGGTAAAAAGTTTCTGCTATATCTGACAGTTTAGATCTTATTTTGTAGTTAGTTATGCACAAATACCCTCTCTGAACTGACCAAAAATCGGCAAAGTGACCAGGCTCCTGAACATGCTCTCCAGAGGTGCTAAGGAGGGAAAAAGTTTCCCCAAGTACACTGTAACTTTACTGCCACTTCCTACTTTCTTTTTATCTGTTTCCTCTAACTTCAACAATCTCAAGTTTCCTCTGTGTACTTCACATGTATTTTGCAGCATCCCATCTGCAAACCCCAGCATCGTAACCCACTGCTAGCTTGACAAGAGGAGTTTCCCTGAAGCAGGGCAGCCCCCTCCACCTCCCTCTGAACCAGAAACTCTCTCCCATGACACAAACGAACAAGTTTTCACACAACCACTGGAGAAACCAACCCCCCAAATGGGCTGAACTTTACCAACAGCCACTGAGAGCAGGGGCAGCTGTCAGCGCAGAGCTGTCCCTTCACGCGTGTGACCAGCTTCAGGTATCACATCAGTTCTTCAAACAATTTTGGCATCAACCACTGGTACCTCAGTCCTGCTCTCCTCCCCAAAACCCTTCTTTTTCTTCAGCTTTAGCCGCTGAGCTGCTGATATGCTGCCAAGTGACACAGAGTTGCTGTCATCTGCAAAGACCTTTTTGTAGCTTAAAAGCAGTAGCTTTGAAATATTCTCTCCTTGATGTGGTCTCCCATTTTGGACTACCAAACAGCCTGGCACTGACACAAAAGCTCTATACTGCCTCCTGCAAACAGAGCATCTTCCTCCCCCGGTGCACAAGCGTACAGGACATTTAGCAAGATGACTGGATACATATTAAATCAAATTCAAAGTGCACATACCTTGCTACAGCGTTTTCCCATCACCTTCTGAAATCACCGTGCATTTCAAAGCTCCCAGTTTGCACCTTGCTTTGAAACAATTCTCATCATCTTCACAGCAGGTATTCTATGCATTTCACATCCCAAGGAGCACTCAGCACAAAGATTTTATTATTTACCGCTGTGGTTGAAGGTATTAAATATCTGATTTGACACAGTTAAGTAAAATTGCTTTATCCAACGACTAAATTGGCCTTCCCTTTTCTCACCCACCCCAGCAAGGCTCTGATCTCCAGTTTCTTCATCTGCAATGAAGTGGTAATATGGCTTCACAGGAACGCTGGCTGACCATTTCAAGATTATCTGATGGAGGCACAAGCCGTGTAAAGCATTGTATTAGGCATTTCATCTGCTGTCATTGTGGGCCACATTAAACAACTGGACATATTCATAGATCACCTGGACACCAGTATTGCATTTGCTGTCAGATAAGGACTCTGATAACCAAACGACTATAGAAAGTATTTGAGTATTCAATACCACTGGTATCTTGGCCTAGGTATTTATTAATAAAGTTTAATACGTTCAGTAAAATTTATTATCTGGGTGAGAAGCTTAGGACTTAGCTAGGAACTTTGTCTCTGAATGTGCTATCAAACCTGTTCCATAATTCCGTTAATAACAACACCCAGTACAAACTCACAGCCAACACAAACAAATCATTAAATGCAGTTAGCATGTGCACAGAATACAAGAAAAACAAAGGCAACCAAACCTGAAGAAACTATCTTCCTACAGGATCTGGAAAAGTGCAAGCAAGGAAGTCATGCAAAAAACCTAGCAAATAAAATTATAAAAACCAAACCAAAACAAAAAACAAAACCAACAACCAAGGACAGCCCACCAGAAAGCCATAGGCAGCTTTAGAAATGTGGATCATCATTTCATTTGTTTAGAGAGTTCATGTTGCAGCTGTGCTATGCAATCACTTTACTGCAAACCATTACAAATCTTTTGGTTTTCGTAACAGGGTTTTTAAGTATTAGCTTGCAAAAACTACCAGGAGTTTAACAACAAAAAGCACATACAGGGAAGGTCTTAATTATTGGAGATGAAACTTTTAACATTTCAAGTTGATTAAAACAGCAGGGATTTCAAATTCAGTCTCCATCGCATAAATGATTTTCTCATTTGTATTTTGTTCTGGTTTTACAGTTCCACACACAGGTGCTGGCCTGTGAGGTGTTTATTGACTTCAGGTGAGCTAAGCTCAACACCCACTACCAAGGAGACGCAGCTGGGCTTTGCTGCACAAGTGGTGGGCTTTAGAAAGCAGCTGGGCTTGCAAGTCCTGAGGTGGCACGTGTGAGTGAAAGGTAATGAAGGGCAAAGAATTATACATGCAGTATTTTTATTAAATAAAACTTAGCTTTAACTCCTTTAGTCCCTCATCACTCTGTTTATTCATATACTCTTGTGTCTCTGCCTGGTTAGACCAGAAAGGCTTTGGGACTGGGACCATTACTGCAACATGTTTGCAGTGTCAAAGAAAATGGAGGGTCAGCCCTTGTTCGTCCTACACTAAGAAACATTATTAACAGCCAATTAACGAGTGATACTTTCACTGTGCGGGGGATTTTCTGCATGTTAATGAAAGCTGCAAATCTTATTAGACAACCAGGAAAGAACCAGCAGTAAAACCATGTTTCCCCAAACATCTTCCAAGGTTGCAAAATCTCTTTCTCTACTTGATCACTGCACCATCTTGTGGGCTTGTGTCAGGAGATAAAACAGGGCAGATGTTATTTTTCTTCCTGAATTAAAGTGCAGGAGCACAAAATGCTTACTGTTTTTTAAATATGTCCTCCTTGCATGCTCTAAATCAAATTTCACCTGTTAAACTCTTACAATTTTAAGCAGTGTTAAGATCAGTTCATAACATTTGGGCTGAAATTGATTTTAAGCATAAAATTGAAACACTAAATTACATCAGCTGACAAACTAGGGTATGTTTGTCCTATCAGACCACTAAATGTGTTGACCTTGTCCTTCTTTACAGAACACGAGACATGATAAAACTTTGGCAGCACAAAGTCAATCAGGTGCTATGGACACTGCTGAGCCTGAGCCCTGGGTGAGTGTGAGAAAGGCCAAACATCCCCCGGCTATTTTGAGCCTTCACTCTTTGCTCAGAGCAGCTTGGAGTCGCTGCCCATAGCATCTGAGAAACTGTAAGAGACAAAGCACTTGCTAATGTGGCAGCTGGAAGAAAACAAACCCATAAATTTTCCTTGCATGACAGTAGTATCATCTTAGTTGTTCCTTGTTAGAAAACAGAAACTCCTTTGACAGTGCCTTGCTTCTCCTTCACTAATTGGAAATGAGGGAGAGAAGAGTTGAAAAATTAACTGCTCTTCCATCTGCCTTCAAGGGAAAAGGAGTAAAGTTTCAAAAATTAGGACCTATTTAATTCTGAAAGATATGCAGTACATCCCTCCCTCCCTTTGCAGTAAGTGGATACAGCCAGCTAAAACAGCTTCAGCTGCTACCAAGCCTGGAACAGCAGCTACAAGCCAGGAACACACCTTTAGATTTTAGTTAATAGCTGGGATGTATTAATTATAGTAATTTATGGTTTTGCATGAGTAATTATTTTAGTGCTGATGTAGATATGATTGCTTTATAATACTAATCAAGAAATAATGATGCTAACCAGCATTTATATGAAATGTGAAGCTTGTGATTTACAAAAAGGAAACAGGAGTACTTGCAGGGCAGCCATTTCCCCATGTTAACATTTCTCATCCCAATGATGGAGCCACACACTTGCCTGCCCATCCTCCATCGCTTTCATGCAACATTGGAAAGGGATGAAAGCAATGCACCTTCCCTGGCACATGCAAAGAAACCATTTGCACAACATCCATTCTGATTCATTCTACCTCAAAGGGGACATGGGATGGGCTGCCTGCAGTTTCTGGCTCTAACCAGTCACACAACAAACTCCCTGAACAGACTACAGGTCAGTCCCATCCCATCTTGTTTAGTGCCAAATATAAAAAGGAGCTTGAAGATGAGTTTCGTTACTACTAAGATGGATATTCACATCACAGAAGTGATTTTTTCAGTTGGCAACCCCTACCCCATCTCAGTACAGAAGGAAAGATGCAAATGGGAAGACTATTGCCCACAGCAGCCACTCTCCGTCAGGTCAGCAGTCACAGCATGTATTTTGTGGATAATACATCACTGTTTTCTCTTACAAATGAACGATATGACATTGCCATCTCTTATTGCTAAAAGCTGGCACTCAGCCACTCTTAGCTTCACTGCCCAAGATACTTTTCTTTCTGCTTTAATCCTTTTATCTATTTTAGATCTATCCATGGTTGTTGGCTAAGTGTCAGGGACTCCTGCCAACTCTTCTCTTAAACCTTTAGAAAATCCAAAATAATTGTACTTTAAAATCAGGATTTTTTCTATTGCTTATTCCCCAACACTATATAGTTGATGTGCTCAAAATGTAACCAAAACAGAATGTTTTGTTTCCCCTCCCTCAAAGCACTGCAAGAGAAGTAGTAAGATTATATATGCTCCCATGTAAGATCTTACTAATACTTTTAGGACACCTTTTTTGTTCAAGGCACCATATTCTAATAGGAATAACAATTTTCCATTCATTCATCGTAACAAAAAAACAGTCTATTAGAGGATCCCTGCTGAGAAACTTTGATTTGATGAAAACAATGAACACCAAAATGAAACTCATGAATAGTTAACTGCAATACATACCAACTTGTAACCTCAATAAACACAGATAAACTGTTTCCTGTTTACATAAGTATTCCCAGATCAACTCTTCTCTATTGTAATGATAATTCTGATACAAACTAGAAAGAACAATTACAAAGACAAGTTGCAGCAAACCTATCTTGAGCAAATTCAACAGCACATTAAACAGTCAAGCAAAAATTTGCTGAGTTGTTTCTGTTCGCTGAGGGGATGTGGCTACACCTCCATTATCATTAATGGCTCACAGAATCTCATTTAAAAAAAGAGCAGATTTCCTTGTACTCCTGAGACATTTAAAATAATTTTATTTCCAATGCTTATTATATCAGCTAAGAAATGTCTTCTGTCAACATGTTCTAATACACAAGCTCTTCAAGTCAGGCAAAAATAGTTTTGTTTCATTAAACACTTCAAAGAGAATGCAACTTTACTTTAAAATTTTAATTAAAATAAACATCAGAACAACCTGTTCTTCATACTGCTCAAATACAGATTCAGCTAGAAACAAATTAGTTCCAAACAAGTTTTGCATACTCCATTACCCAAGTTGAATGTTTATATTAAACCCTGCATGTGTCACAGTAATGTTTCTAGAAAAAAATCCTGATTAATTTACCTGTACATTATAGCATCAGGTACTCTTGCTTTTTGACATTTCTCTAAAAAATGTGAAATCTGCTCTTCCGTGATTGAAGTACGTAACTCTTGACTTTTCAATGAGAGAAACCTCTGTGAAATCCCACATTTCATACAATTTATACCCAAAACACAGATGCATGTAGTAGTTCCACAGCCATCCGCCAGCCTGGCTCATGGGTGCCACTGGAGGGACAGGGACACTGCCCTGATGCCAGATGGGCAGCAACAACCCAGAACATGATTGTTCTTTCAGATAATCAGTCAGAAGGTGAGTCAAGAAAACAAATTCAGGTCTTTACCTAAACTACACAGGAAAGTGCTGGGACAGTCTCTGAAGTCTCACCTGCGACTCAAGATTGGAAAAACGTTGATGTTCTGCTGTCACCACTTTTTCCCTTGACCCATCATTAAAGTTCACACTGTGACAGTAGTTTTATGGAATACAAACCTCTGGGTAAAGCTGTATCCTGCTTTTTATTTTACGACAACCAAGGAATGTTCACCTAAATTACTACAGTAAAATATCACCAATCACAAACTACCATTTTTGACTGTTTTGTTGGCTGTCCTCAATGGCTCTTTCCTAGCCAGAGCCCCACCAGCAAAATTTCCAGTTGGGTCAAAGTTTCATTGCTATCAAAAGCAATACCAAGGTATCTTCTACTTGGAGCTGTACAGTTAACATTACTTCCGTTCTTGTTGACACAGAATAGGCACACACTCACAAGGGACTAGTTTATTTATGTTTACCTTTTTCCAAGGGTACTCTATACTAAAATCTTTCACTTGGTGACACCAAGTGGGCAAAATGATCAGCAACATCTGCATCAGGTCTCAGTTGACATGATCACTGGTTTTGATGAAAATTCTTACACTCCACACCTCTCCTACAAACAGAGCATTGAGGTGTTATAGCCTGCCAGTTATAGCAATGTAATGAATCCAATTGGGTGTTTCAGCCTCAAATGCAGTTTTTCCTCATTCAAACACTTCCATTTTCAGACCCCAGCATTTCCCCCCAAACTCTTGAATTTATTCAACCTCATTTGTAAGCCAATCTTAGAATGAATCATCATCACAAAAGCAGCCTTTTCCACTCTTATTAGTGACACTGAAGAATGCTGACAAGTTACAGAGTATATGTGTCTCTTCCCTTTTCCCGCATTTAATTTTAGGTTCACATTTAGACCATTATTTGGAAGAGATGCAGAACATTGGCTAGAATGCTACTGCTGTAGGAACTGATTTTGCAACCTCTGCAGCTGACTTTCAGAAAAGTTAAAGCCAAAATAATGAAGAAATAGCTATCCTGGAACAAGATACAGAAATAGCTGCATTTGCTCTTCTTGCTGTTTGGGGTATTTAAGGCCTCATCTCTCCAGCAATTACAGCAGCAGTGTATCACTTTGAACGGTTTAAAGCAAGTAAATGACCAAATACCAGATAGAATGCTTACACAACTAAAACCTATTCACATTATCTGCAGTAATTACACTGAAGGGTATATACATCTATTTTATCATATTATAGCAAATAAAAGGAGTGCTCAGCATGTTTATTAAAAATGTGTTACATAATGTAAAGTCATTCCTTAATGTAGTACAGTGACAAAACCAGACCCAGTTGGTGTTTTTTGAGATAATTTTAATGTATGTGTGATCAAAACTTAACTGTTACCATTTCTTAACATCTTAGTGCAGAAAAATATGTAGTGTTTACAAACACTAGTCCCCAAGCTCACTCATGTTTTTTTTTTATTTCTTCTTCATCATTTTCAGCATAAACACCTGCAATACAACAGCATGGATAAGTTAAATGTTCAACACTATTAATCCATTTGTTAATGTGAGGGATATCATCAGAAAAACCTTTATTCACCACCAGTCAATCTGCCGGTAATTCCAGCAATTTTTGGTTAGTTTCATCATATGATATCTTTAAGTAAATGGATACATTTCCAGCAGAAGCAAGGCCTTTATCCCTTTGCTCTAAAGTGCTGTCAGCAAAACTGCAGTGCAGAAGACAGCTGATCTTACACATTTACTGCCCATGTTATAGTCTACTAAAGTATTTTTTGACCTAGAACTTCATTAATTATACTTTTAGAGCTAAGAATATACAGAAAAAGAAACACAGCCAATGAGAATGTTCTCAACTAGGTAATGTTTCTGAGACTGTCGCCAAAAAACCATTACGTTAAAATAATGGCACCCCAAATGCTAAACTCACCCAGAAGAAGCTCCTGCTCTTGCTGTCTCACTGCCTTCCACAGGACTGGTGAAGAGCTGTAACATCAATTGGCAGACATCATTAGCACAAGGCAGCCAAAACCTGCAAGCTAAACCTACAAAGTATCACATGCCTTTACTTTCTAAGAGGGAAAGCAGATTCACTTAATCTATAAAGTTTGAACCTACAAAATATGCCCCTAAAGGTTTTGGCAGTTTATAAGCCTCATTTATTCTAAACTTAGATTCTACCTGGTATCAAGCTCTACATGGACCAGTGATCACTTACCTTCACATTCAGGCCATTTCCAAAGAGCAACCCAATTCTAGTACAAATTGCGTCGCATTTATCTGGGAAGACCAGGCTCTGCAGATGAACAGATGGACATGAAGCTACGTTAGGTTCTACAACAGCACTTTTCACAGAAAGTATAAATAACAAGTTGCTGGATTAGTTCTAGAAGACAATTTTCTCTTACTCAAAACTCTGAATGCATGTAGCTGTATTTCAGACAAATAAGAAGGTTATCGTCAGTTCTCGCATCTGACGGCACTTCCTATTCGGGGTTATCATCATCAACAGCCAACTTTTACATCTGATTACTTAAAACACACTAATTGTTTCATCTTGAACAAACAATTGTAGGTTTCCTCCCCCCCCTTTTTTATAAGAGGCATTAGGTCTGTTAATGGTGCATAAAACTAGTTTTTATTTTACTTGTTTTAAGATTTAATTGTTACAGGTAATTTTTTACTAAGAGTCCTGTATTTAATTACTTTACATCATTAGCATGTAAATAAAGGCCTGGAACTTTCTGAACACCTTTGTACAAAATAAAGTTTAACTTACTCTTTACTTCAAGACATCTTTCTGCTGTGGGGAATAAAAGCAAAAGAAGCATTACTAGAATACTCTTCAGCAGTCATTTTAGAAAATGATAAAGTAGGTTTATCCAGCAAACAAAACAAACCAAAAAACCCCAAAACCCACTAAAACCAGAACCTTACCACCAACAGTCTGCTTCTTGTAATTCCACCCATGTTTGTGTTCCTATCATGAACCACTACAATATTTATAATCAGACAGCTTTTAGTCAGCTATCACTAGTTATTAGTCAATAATCCTTTCTAAACTGTTTTTAGTGAGTAAACTTAGGAATCTCCCTTATATAGCTTGCCAGACTGCATCTATCATAAGGGCAATTTTTAAATTGAAGTTTCACACAACACCAATTCTAAGGTTGGAATGTTCATTGCACAGGAAAGGCCTGGCACATTGAACAACCCAAAAGTGACCCATTTGCTTAAAACAGCACCGTAAAAATCCATAGAAGGCACACGAATGCCAAGCACTAACCACAGAGGCGGCGTTACCTCCACAGCCCTTATGGAGCTGAGCTTGGCAGAACTCCACCCAACACTACTGATGTGTGGAAACAAACTTTACAACCCACAAAGAGTTATAAAGCAGGCATAGCAGGCCCCATTTATGATACAAACCATACATATTCATTAGTATAGGCTGGGTTATTACAATTACTTCTGGGAATGGGTGTAGCTATTGTAATTATTTCTGGGAACTCATTGTCCCAAGTCTCCTCCTACCGCATGCATACTGCCATCCGGTGGTCAGGGGATGAGGTCTTTTGGAGGAAGGCTTGTGGTCTTCTTCACCATGGCCTCTTCACCTTTGTCCCAGAATGCTGAGTTACCTCAGCCAGTAACTGCAAAACCGGCTCCACCCAGATGGCTCCTTCTTGCAGATGCTGTAATTAACAGATGGATATCCTGTTATCTATGGAGGCCTCTTGTAACAAAGTTTCCTGTTATATTTCAAGGTCTTTTGCAACCAATTATACCATTATCTTGCTAGTTACTTTGCTAAACGTTTATTTCCTATATGAAGTCTCCCCTTTTGTTTTACCCTTGCAAATTCTTTTGCTATATGGCACCATTTCTTTTAGCAAAATACTTGCCATTTTCAATGTTTTGCCTTAATTTGTGTTTCTTTCACTCCTCATAGCTATTTCCAGTTTGTTTACCCATCCACATAAAACACTGCAACACACAACAGACTAATAATCCTAATACAATAATCATGGTAACTACAACAAAAAGCTGCTTAAACCATGTGAGATTAGGTAGCCAAGCGTTTTTTCCCAGAGGTTAGAAAACCCAAACAAGGTATCATCCAGGGATACCCGATGTAAGACTTTTGAGTGTTCCCAAACCTTCTTAAGGTCAATCTCTATTCTGCTTGATTCATCTACATAAATACAACAGCTTGTATTGATCAAGGTGCACACCCCTCCCATTTGAGCTGTGATTGTATCTAAAGCCATACTGTTTTGAAAGATTTTACCCCCTGGTCTAAACGTAAAAGGGCATCTGTAGTTGTGTTTGCTATTATTTCCATCTCTACCGAAATATCTACTATGGCTTTTTCAATCTCACTAACTCACAACCATGGTAAGAATCACTGCACAAAGCTATGAAACCCTACTATTTTTTCTGTAAGTGGGTTATAAACTCCCTGTCTCACCCTTTTCCATGGTGACCTCAAAACACCATTTGGGGCATGGGACTGGTTAAATATTTTGTCCTGGGGTATCAAGTACCCCCCTGCATATGTCCCTGTCCAATTAGCAGGCAGGCTTTTTCTGGCCACTCCATCTCCACAGAGCCACCAGCACCCAGACTATACTTTTCAGTCTGTTTACTAAGGGAAAAGCAGAGCTTGTCCTTTACCTGTACTTTTCTCTTGGATATCCTTAATGGTCACATTTAAAGTCTCCAGTGATCTGTCCTCCTGTGCTATTTCTTCTGTATATTGTGTTTGCTTGATCCCATATCTGCAAATCAAATTTAGACCCTGTCCTTTTATCCCTGTCTTACCCAAAAGTGCAATTTTTCGTAGTCCAAGCATTCACAGTTGAATTCTTAGATACTACTCCAAACAAGGGTGGCCCTGAATTTCCTCTTCTGGGAAGAGCTGTACATACCCAACAATCTGTTAAATTTAGTGCACAAGCTATCTTCCCAGTTTGTTGCAGAAACACATTATCCCTCCATGCTATTACACAGGCACTGAAAAGGAGCAATATTACAGGGCTCTTAGTCCTCATCCTAACTCCTCTTTTGAACACGGAGCTTCAAGGGTCCAGTAGGTGTTGATCGTCACTGGGTTTTAGGGGCTTTCTTCAATCTGGTATAATGTATCCACGATGCTTGTTCTTTAATCTTGATAGCTGTATGGGGTGTCAACAACACCTGGAAAGGGCTTTCCCAGCTTGACTCCAGAGGTGAATCTGAAAGAAATTTAACATATACATAAACTCCAGGCTCAATATTATTATGCACAGGTCCATTGAGACCTCGGGCTCCAGTTCCCAAGACTAGCTTCCAAACCTCCTGAAGCTGTTTCTGCAGGGTTATCACATAATCTGTTAGTATTTCATTCCTGACCTGGGTTGATGTTCCAGCCTGTATCATGTAGGGTCTCCCATATACTATTTCAAAGGGACTCAGCCCTTCCTTGGCTCTGGGTTTGGTTCTAATTCTCAAAAGAGCTAATGGTAAGGCCTGAGACCAGGGCAACCCAGCTTCTTGTCCCAATTTGACTACAATCTGTATTTTAATGAGGTGGTTCATTTTCTCTACCTGGCTACTTGCTTGTGGCCTATATGAGGTATGTAATTGCCAATCTATCCCCAGAAGTTTGCTAACTTGTTGAACAACTTTTGCAATAAAGTGCAGCCCTTGGTCCGAGGATATAACTGCTGTAACCCCAAACCTTGGTACTATTTCTTGTAATATGACCTTGGTCACCTCTCGGGCTTTATTGGTTCAGCAAGGGAATGCTCCCAGCCAACCTGAAAAGGTGTCCATCAGGACCAATAAATACCAGCACCCCCCTTTTCTTGGGAGCTCTGTGAAGTCAATTTGCCATTGTTGTCCCGGATAGTTTTCCCTCCCTATTTGTCCTAGTTGGGCTTTGGGGCCCATTTTAGGATTATTCTGTAAACATATTTCACACTGCTGGGTCACCTGTTTAACAGTAGTGTAATGGTTGCGGGCAATTACACGCAGGTTCAAATACCTGTACCGAGCCTGTTCCCCAATGAGATTTCCTATGTTCTGCCATGACAATGGCCCACAACAAAGTGAATGGTATGATTAATTTTCCTTGTGGAGTTTTAGCCCACCCACCTGTTTCAACTTTCCCTCCCAAGCCCTCAATTAGTTTCTGATCTTTTTTTGAATACCTGGGTTCGCAATCAATTTGTATTTTACCATCTGGGACCAAAGACTGTACCCTTACATCACCCTTCCCAGCCCCTCTTTTAGCCTCACGGTCCGCTGTGGCATTGACCAATTCCTGAGTGGTGTTTCCTTTCTGATGAGCTTTACAATGCATAATAGCCACCTTCTCAGGCAGCTGAACAGCTTCCAGGACCTTAAGAATCTCTTCAGCATGCTTTATATTTTTCCCTTGTGTGGACAGGAGTCCTCTTTCTTTCCATACGGCCCCATGAGCATGGACCACCCCAAAGGCATATTTAGAGTCCGTCCAGATGTTTATCTTTTTGCCTTTGGTTAGTTCCAGCGCTCTGGTTAAGGCTATTAATTCTGTCTTTTGTGCCAAGGCATTTGGGGCAAGGGCTGTGGAGCGATTACAGCATATACCCTGCTTTGTGGACACCTCGTTGAACGAAGCTGCTCCCGTCTGTACACCAAGAGTCCTCCACGTCTCCTAAAGGTTCCTCCTTCAGATCAGGTTGGCTAGAATAGACTGCTTCAATTGTTTCCAGGCAGTCATGTGATAGTGGTTCCCCCGTATTTCCACTGAGGAAAGATACTGGGTTGACAATGTTAGTAACCACTACTTCCACATCATCCTGTTCCACTAGAATGGCCTAGTACTTAAGAAGTCTTTGGGGTGAGAGCCAGCGCACCCCTTTTACCTCTAATACTGTAGATACGGTATGGGATAACAACACTGTGATCCTTTGGCCTAATGTGAATTTGCGTGCTTCTTGAATGTTTAGCGCTAGTGCTGCTACCGCCCTTAGACAGCTAGGCCAACCTTTACTTCATCAAGCTGTTTGGAGAAGTACGCCACTGCCCTTCTGTATGGTCCCACATTCTGAGCTAGGATTCCCAAGGCTATTCCCTGCTTCTCATGGGAGAACAGCCAAAATGGTTTAGTTGTGTCTGGTAGCCCCAAGGCAGGGGCCTCCATGAGCTTCCTTTTCAGTTGCTGGAATGCTTTATCTGCTTCCCGTTCCAAGTGAGGTTTTCCAGACTGCATTTTAACAGTTCATAGAGTGGCCTTACCAGGAGCCTGTAGTTGTATATCCAGAGGTGACACCATCTGGTCATTCCTAAAAACATACGGAGCTCCTTAGCCGTCTGTGATTAAGAGGTCTGGCATATGGCCTCCTTTCTTGTTGTGCCTAGAGATCTTTGGCCAGCAGCTATCACGTATCTGAGGTAAGTCACCCACTGCTGGGCCACTTAGGCTTTCTGTGGAGATTCAAGTTGCCATTAAGTCCAAGGAAATTTAGCAGACTAACTGTCCATACTATGCGTATCTCTCTTGTTTCTGCAGCCATCAATAAATCATCCACACATTGTAGTATTATCTCCACTCCATGTGGTCGTTCCCACTTCTCCAAATCCTTGGCTAATTGATTTCCAAAAAAGGGGGGCTATTCTTAAACCCCTGTGGTAACACAGTCCATGTTAATTGTGTCTTTCTTTCAGAGTGTGTGGGGGGGGGGGGGCGGGTTTTCCCATTCAGATGCAAACAGCAACTGACTTTCAAGGCTCAAGGGTACACAAAAGAAGCTGTCTTTTAGGTCCAATACTGTAAACCAGGCCAATTCAAGTGCTAATTTGGTTAATAACGTATATGGGTTGGCCACAACAGGGTGCAAGTCTTCAGCCATCCTATTAATAGCTCTAAGATGCTGCACTATCCATAACTCCCATCTGGCTTTTTGACTGGTAAAATGGGAGTGTTATATTCTGATTCACACTCTGTTAACAACCCAAATTTGATGAATCGGCCAATTATTGGCCAGATTCCTTCCCTATCTTCTGTCCTAAGGGGGTATTGCCCAATTCTCACAGGCCTCGTTCCTGGTTTAAGTTTTACTGTTATTGGGGAGGCATTTTTCACCCTTCCTGGTGTTTCCAAGGCCCATACTCCCGGATATACTTGATTCCGGACTTTTTCAGGCACTCCTGGACAGACAGGAGTGTCTGTAAGGACCAGACTCAAAAGTTCAATTAGCTGATCATTCCCTACTTGAAGTTCTATTTTTCCTCCCTCAAATGTTATTTTCACTTTCAACTGCTCCAACAGGTCTCAGCCTAATAGAGGTTGTGGGGAATTAGGCATATATAAGAATTTGTGTATTCCAAATTGTTTTCCTAATTTAAATTTAGGGGTTTTTAAAAAGTACGCCTTTTCACTTTGGCCGGTAACTCCCCTTACCATTACAAAATCATTATCCATTGGTGTTAAAGCCTCATTCAAAACTGAAAGTGTTGCTCCAGTATCTACTAGAAATTTTATATTCTGTTGTCATTTCCCTAGCTTTAATGTAACCAGTGAACCCACTAGGGTAGATTCCCCAGGTCCTCATCAATCTTCTTTGACATGGGCCTATATCCTCCCTTTCCTTTTTCATCTCTCCAGACATTCATTCTTCCAATGTCCCCTTTGTTCACACCATGTGCACTGATCCCTTCCCAAAGGACCCCTTGGTTCCATACTCCTGAATTCTTTATTTTCTTTTAACACTACTACGAACGCCCGCTGGTCTCTTCTTCAATCATCGTCCTCTCTGTTGTTAAACACTCTCCATGCCTCATCTAACGAAGTCCCCAAATTCCTGCTTTCCGCCAGCTTCAATTTCTGCAGCTTCCTCCAGATGTCGCTTGCTGACTGCCCAATGAACAGAGACACTAACTGCTGAGTCCCTACTTCCGATCCTGCGTCTAAAGGGATGTACTGCCTCACAGTATCCCATAATTTATCCAAAAATTCCAAGGGGGTATCCCTTGGACCTTGCCAAACAGCATACAAAGTTGACCAATTGTTTTTGGGATAGCCCACTCCGTTCTTCTCACAACCCAATCCCTGTATGTATTCAGCAACCTTACATGCGCCCCTCTATGAGGGTTCCATCCTGGATCCTGTAAGGGGAAATGATCTTTTATATCTTTCCCCATATTCTTAAGAAAATCACTAGCCAGGTCTTGGGTTGTTTTTAATATTAATTGTTTTTCTGACTCTGTCATATGGTCTAATAACAACTGAGTATCACTCCAGTCAGGGTTATGCTGTTTTATCAGAAACTGGAAGTGTTTGGTCACCCCACAGAATTCTTCCATGTTTCTAGATCAAACAAGGAAAAGGGAATTTTTATTACAACAGGCTCTTGACCTACAGCTTCTCTCAAGGGTACCTGTACCACTACTGTTTCCTTTTTACTCTGGGTATGTAAAGCAACTGGGCTATCAGGATGAGTTCCTGGGTCTGAATCCTCCCATTCCCTTTGTTGTGTTTTTGCTGGGTGTTTATAATATTCCAGCAGGTCTCTCACCTCAGGATCCCTTTGCTTTTCTGGCCTTGTGCATCTTTGACCTATGCTACATGCCAAACAGCACCTTCTCACTTTTCCTATTCATTCTTTCATATTTTCCTTTTCTAGAGCCAAAACCATTGGGTCTTGTGGGCTCTTTAATCAGTTCGATAATCAGGGCGATTTCTGAGTGTCTGCATAGGAGACCTCATCCCACTTTCCTTCTCTCCTCAAAAACATCAGTTGCAACAAAGTATTGTAACTCAAGGTTCTGTTAAAGGGCCATTTTCCCCCATCATCTAATTTATAGAGGGGCCACCACTGGTTACAATATTTAGTTAAGGTCCTTTTATTCACACTTCCACCTGGTGTGACCCCAATTTCCTTACAATGGGCTAATATGCAGCCCAAAGGGCTCTTTTTCAAAATACCCCCACTGTTTCCCTCCCATATTGTTAGCCTGGAGGACTTACCCAATTTCTGCTTCTACTGCCTCTGTAAGTTTCCCAGGTTCCCACAATACATTCTTTTAAGCTAAACCGAGTGCTCAATTCTGTCCCTGTCAGACCACTTCCCTGGACATTTACTATACCATAAATCATCTCCAAATTCCACCCAGATGTTTTGTCCACAGCCCAAGCATTTGAAAACAAAGATCGGATTACAAGAAAAATCCTTGGGTCCGAGTACGGGGCACCAAAAGATAACCACAGGCTCAAAAAATACTGTTTTAAAATCTGACATATACTTCGCTCGCCTCCAACTGCTCCCCTCACAGAGAACATGGAAACGCGGATCAGAACTCTGCACTCGCTTCGCAGCTGTGCTGTGTCTCATGTCTCACGCAGGCACACAGGCCTACAAACATGCAGTTACACAAAGGGCCCCTCACATTTTTCGCTCACACCACAAAACGTACCGATTTAAGACAGCAGCCAAATTCACATATAACACAAACAGTAAACTGTGAGTCATTTGACACAGGTTCAAACTGATCAATATAAATTAACATATAGTACATGGTACCGGACACAAAAACTTCTTAAGTAGGCAGCTTGTAACAACCACCATAAATATCCCAATTATATTTACAATAATGTAAATTTCAATTCCCATAGGTTACAACAAATGGCATGAATGATATAGCTACAGATATCCTACTGTCCTCAATGAGGGGTCCATGCCAAGACTTTGCGTGTTGCTTTGCAAAGGCTTGCATAATGCCCCCAGTGAGGAATTCCTGTTACAGGATTCGAATCCCAGCCACCCAGGGGTGAGCAATGCCGCTCTTCACCTTGCATAGGATGTCTCCTCACGACTTACAGGTATCCCCTCCCTGACATACCTGGTCCACTGATGGTCCTTGTCTGCCCCCCGCAGTGACTGATTGAGGGAGGGAAGTCCTCCGAGAAGCCTCAGGGCACACTTAGGACATCCTCCTCTCAGCCAGTCCTGCAGCAGGGCAGAGAGTCCCATCTGGGTCGCCAAACTGTGGAAACAAACTTTACAACTCACAGTTATAAAGCGGGCATGTTTACTGCAGCACTGGGTGCAAGGAGGATCGTTCCTCCGAGCCTGCACAGTATGATGAAGCAAGCCCCATTTATGATACAAAACATACATATTCATTAGTATAGGCTGGGTTGTTATAATTAGTTATAAAAATAGGCATGATTATTAGTAATTATTTCCGGGAACTCATTATCCCAAGTCTCCTCCTCTTGCTGCATGCATACTGCTATCTGGTGGTCATGGGCCAAGGTCTTTTGGAGGAAGGCTTGTGGTCTTCTTCACCATGGCCTCTTCACCTTTGTCCCAGAATGCTGAGTTACCTCAGCCAGTAACTGCAAAACCGGCTCCACCCAGATGGCTCCTTCTTGCAGGCGCCATAATTAATGGATGGATATCCTATTATCTATGGAGGCCTCTTGTAACGAACTGTCCTGCTACCTTTCAAGGCCTCTTCTGACAAAAGTTCCCTATCATCTTTCAAGGTCTTTTGCAACCAAGTATCCCGTTATCTTGCTAGTTATTTTGCGAAGTGTTTATTTTCTATATCAAGCACCATCCCCGACTGCGGCGCGGGCAGCGGACAGCAGGAATACCTGGCGCCACCTCACACACAGAGCAAGCTCCCAGTCCCCACCCAGCCCAAATTAGCCTCTTTTAACTTACCGGGGAAGCCTTTCAGCGGCCCTAGCGCAGTTCCCGCCCCGCTGGGGTGCCGGTGTCCGCCGCCATGGCAGGCCTGAGGGAACAAGGGCAGTCAGGCGCCACGTGCTCCGGGGCCACGCCCCTCCCCCGCGCGCGGCACTCACGGCGCCCCCCAGCTCAGCCTTGAATGGTCGGGCCCAGCCCGAGCGGCCCCGAGGAGGGGGAGGCACGGCAGATACCACCACTGCCGGGGGTGTGTGTGTGTATGTGTGGTAGGGGGACAGGGTGGGATGGGATGAGAAGGCCCCCACTAAAAGAGAAGAGCGTTTCGCTCCGCAAGCCGAGCCTCTGCCTCCTCCCTACCCGCCTTCCACGACGCCCAACCGGCCCTGGCCCCACGCAGCAAGCCCCTGTACCCGAGCTTACCCGCCTCCAGGAACGCAGGACGAAAAGGCGCGCAACTGGGAAGTGGCCATTTATAAAGGCTTGGGACGTACCACGCTGGGGCGGAGGTGTGTGTGTGGGACGTACCACTTCTCCAGTAAGGCGGGGGGGTGTGAGGCGTCCATTTCCTGCTGGGCGGCGTTCTGGCTTCTCAGCCTCCCTGGGCCGATAGAGAGCCTAATTTTAAGCACCTCTCTACTCGGTTGAAAGCAAGAAAGAGGGATCATTAAAACTGGGTTGGGAGAGGCTGCAGTTCAAAGCAGGGACCCTCAGCTTGCCTCCAGAAAGGCACAAGGCGCGCTCCGGACAGCCGCAGGCCCCGCACCAAGGAGAGGGGCAGCACGGCCCTTTGTGTACGTTCCAGCAAAATGGGATAGGTCAGTGTGATTTCAGATCACTTTTATTTGGAATAGAACAGCTGTTTAAATAAAATTTTCGTTATTTTCACATTATAAGGTCATCTTGAACTGAAAGTAAGGTTTTTTGCTTTCCTTTTCCCTGTTAAAGACATTGGCTATCATCTTAAAAGCATCTAACTGAGGACAGCTGCAGGCGCTGAGACCGTAGCCCCCACAACGATTTCTTTTGCACAATATAACAGCTACCTGAACCATTTTCTAAAAAAATACGTTTTTAAACCAGCAAACACCTCCTAAAAGGACTAGTGTTGTCCTGTAACGAGTCACCTAAATTCAAAACCATTTTTTCCTCTGAGGCATAGATCCCCCAGCAAAAGCCAAAGCTGTACTACTACTTGCAATTTTCACCGTAATCTCATTTTAGTAAAATACATAGGTTGTGCATCTTGGTATCAGAACATTAACTTCTGCATCAAAATCCCTGAAGGTGGTAATACCTGGGAGTTCAGTGAAAGGTCAAGAACACATTAGCTAAGAACAAAACAGCTGCCCAGAAAGAGAAGGGGACTTACCCAAAATTCTCTGTGCAGTCTCTCTCTAGGTCAAATAGGTTTAAGTTGACCATGTTAAGGAAAATGCATTCTCTAAATATTCAGTGCTCATTTTTAATTATCAAAACCCAGCAGTTCAGGTAACCTAAAGAAGACGAAAGCTAGAGATCCTGGTACCAGAAAACACTTCAAAACTTCTCTGTACATCATCATAAAGCAAAACCAGGCAAACGCTCAATTACAAAACCCCCTCTCTATAGGTCCCTTCAATAGTGAACTTCTATTTTACTTGCAGCTAAGATGCCATGGGCATCATTAACAAACAACCCTCCCCATAAACCATAAACACAACAGATCCCCAAGGAGGCATCTGGAAGGTGTATTCACGACCACCTGAAAGACAATACCAGTGTTAATGGCTCCTCTTCCTCAAACACAAGGCTTTGCCTACATGGCTTTTCTTGATTTCCTGTATCCATTAGTTCAGATCTTTTATATCAGTTGAAGAGATTCTCTATTCCCATTCTGCCGTTCATACCAGTTAGTCTGTCCTTCACCAGGCTCAAGTTATAAGTATTAACATGGAAACAGAGTGGTTATCAGCAACATTAACAGCAGACCACAACCAGTTGCTGAGCTTAAAAACATGCAAAGATTCACGACAATGCAGAAGCCTGTCTTCATAGACCAGGTGTGCATGATTCACGTCTACCATCTCCTTTCAGGAAAAGGAAAGGTCATAATGGATTCAAATCAGTAATACAACACAAAGGTTTACTGGCAAAAAGACACCAGTTAAATAAATTTTATCAGGATCTTGAAAAATGGATAGGGTATGTGTATGATTCTATTTTAAAGCTTTATAAGGGATATTAATGAAAGCACACGTTAAAATGAATTATTAGAGGGATCAGACATTGCAGTCATTTACTCTCAACAATACTTTTATGAGACATATTTATATATTCAATAATTAAATATAAAATCAAGGATGAGTGTCACAAAACAAGGAAATAATAAGGCTCTAAGCCCAGTCAGTCCCCAGATTACCCTTCTAGTCACTGTACCTTTCATTTTTAACTTTAGTTTTACATGCTGCTATTCTTACACATAATAAAGCAGTAAGAAAAGTTAATTGCAGATTCCTCACTTTTGTGAAGCCTCAAACCTACTTCAACTTAGTACAAAAGTAGGGGAAAAAAAGATAAAACATTTTTTTGTTGAAAAGCAGAAAGGGGAAGAGAGATTCGTAGCCATTTTGGACTGACAACCTAGGAAGTAGAGACAATACAAATAAATTTTTAGACTATCAAAATGCAGCAGACAATGGTTTTGCTACCATTTTGTTCTGTTTACCAGAATGTGATGTGCTAGCATTATTCCTTATTTAGTATTGGTAATTAAAATAAATGCCACAGGCAACAAGAAAGAACTGCAGTTGCACACTGATCAAACCTTTTTCCTACCTAGAAAGGGTCTGTGGGTAAAAAAGCTGAAGGTAACAAGTCAACCATGTGCACATCCACATGTACTATACAATAAGAACATTCAAAAATATTGACATGAGACAGCGATCCTATAGTTCTCCTTTTCTCTTTCAGTTATATATATATAGTTAAACAGCACATAGGAAAACACCACTATAAGCTTTCACTGTGGCCAACAGGAAAATTCTCACAAATATAAAAGTGTATGTTCTTAAATTGTTAGATTTCTTCAAAACATATTACAGATAAAATGAAAGAAATAGGATTTCTCATCACATAAAAAACCAAAACAAAACAAAAAAACAACAAAACAAAACCCCAAACCCTTGGGAATTTACACAATTTTCAAACATCCAACTTTGCAGTCTTGAACATCTCAATCCCTGCTACAGCAGAACACAGTATCACCAAAATAAATGAGCAGAATTCCTTGAGAGCAGTGATGCTACTTGGATACTATGTGAAATTTCACTGTACTAACATGTTTATCTTGGATTTACATTCAGTATTTTGGAGGAAGGGAACATGATAACCCCTTCATGCTTTATCCTTGCTGGCTGCCTACCCAGAAAGCATTATTGTTATTACTTCAAAAGGAAAAGAAAGGTGCTGGTAAGAGCCAGAAGGACAAGGCAATGATGTTGATTATGAAATGCCCTGTTCTTTGGATGAATTGTATAATATATTTTGTTAAAAGGCTCCATGTTAAAAATACTAAGAACAAAAAGGTCATCTTAAAAATACAGAGCATTTCTGCCTCCTCCTGTAAGTTCAAAGCTTGGGGAAAAGTGTTTTTCTAGAATTAACTACAGGTTTGCTGTAATAAACATATATGACAGTGCCCTGTGTAACACGGGGCCAACCACAGACTCCAGACAAACGTGATTGCTTTAGGTTTCAAGTGGTATACACATCTCTATTTTTGTATAAAAGTAACAGAGACACTTGTGGAACCTTCACTGCAGAGTCTTTGCCAGTGTCCAGATTTTGGGCAAAGGAAATCTTGCCACACTGCAGAGTCACAATCTTGAGGTGAAGATCAGAGTGTAAAAACAATCATGATTCAGTGTCTGATCCAGAACTGCTTTCTCGGCTGATTTCAATTTGTAAAGATGGTAAATTATCCAATCGACTCTTTTTTTGCCGAGACTGTTCTTTTTCCTTAATGAGAGCACCCCAAACCCGCTGGAGCTCTGAATCATCTTCCTCAGGAGATGCCACAGAGTTTTCAGGTTTATCTGAAGTCTTTTCTTGTGTCTTCGGAGCAGACCCTAATCGGGTCCATAAATTACCTAATGAGATGAAAAACAAACATTAAAAAACAAAAACAAAACCAAAACAAAAACAAAAAACACCAAAAACCAGGACTAAGAGGAATTCTGGAGGAAGTTTGAGGAACCTAGTCTTAAATTCAGGGCATCTCTAAACTCCTTGTACTCCTCCCACCTTAATGTTTGGCATGGAACTTACTACGCTTTGAAGCAGTAGTTAAAATTAAAATATGGGAGGCTCAATGCAGCCTTGTTTGATGTTTTCTGTTTGTAGAGAATGCTACACATGGGTCTGAAGTGCCATTGCATTCATTGCATTTGTTTTAGTGTCCTGTTTTGACCACAGTTTTCAAGTAGTTTTCTACTTTTAAGCATACCTATATAATATTTCTTATACTCATACTCAGCTCAACATACCTACATGTATTTAGATTTCAAAGTTATGAACAAACATTTGCTAATTCATCTTTAGTTTTACTCGACTGAACATCTTTCATGATTTTCTGCTGAAATTTCTCTTAACTCTAAAATCAAAGGAATTGCAGTATTACATTTTCTGTATAAAACTAACCTGATTTCTTCTCTCTGGTATCAGAGTAGAGGCCTTTTACATCTTGTTTGGGGATGCCTAATCGGCTGTGTACATCTGATACCGGTTCTCGACGAGGAGCGGAGGTACTACTTGGAAGTTTAATTTCTGGAGAATGTGGTCTTTTTCCCAGTCTTTGCCGCACATCTAGGGATATTTTCAGCGATTAAAATTACAAAAGTCATGTTGCATTTAGTCTAGTTCTGACAGATAATTTTATGCTTGTTTACGATTTGTACAACTTGAAACTAGAAAGATTTTCTGATTTTATCTTTTCTGCAGTCTTTTCACGTTTTAGTTTTTCATACTGAGATTACAGTCATGGCAATGTCTGCAATACAGTTAACCCAGATTTCATTCTTCTGTGCTCTGTCCAGAAGATTGAAAAAGTTATTCCATGGCTTGCTGCATTTCTGTTTCAGCAGCACAGCATGAGGTATGATTATACGAAAATTGGTATGGCTTTAACAGTTCTTTTCAGATAATAGATACCTTGCTTTAGAATTCTAATACTAAATAAGATGAAAACAGAATATAAGAATCCTAAATATATTGATACTTAACCAATTATGTGACATTCTGAAGTTTGTCTGGTTTAGGTAGATATTCCTAGTCTTAGAGGAGATGCAAAATAAAACATAAAGGCAAAGGAAGTTACAGGATTTATACGGCAACTTGTCAGAGCCTCAAAATGTGCAGGAGGGGTAAAATATACTAACATAACTTCATTATATTGTCACATAATCATCTGGATACTCTGTATGTCAGAAATAGTGGAAATTACATGTACCCCAGTCAAAAAAGCAACAGTCAGTTAAGCCAAAATATAAATCTTGCCAGTTGAAATACTGCTCATATTCATGTAATACAAGATCTTTCATGTAAGTTTCATGTAAGTAGCTATCATTTCCAGTTTCATTTAGTACACGAGTTCCCCACATGCTATGCTTCTCAGAGCTTTACAGAATCTCTGCCTCACAGAGCAAGCAAATCAAAAAGGACAAAGTGGGGGGAAATAGAGACAGACAAGTAAACTGGATAAAAAAAAACCATCACTTCTACTCAAATGTACTTCATTTTTCCCCAAAGCAATCCCCAACTCAGTCTCTTAGTGAGGAAAAATTAGCTGTATGGATGCAGAAACTGCTGCTGAACAGAATTCCCTCAGGTTTGTTAGTTGCAGCAAAGCACAGATGTGAAATGAATATATCCATTTTAATGAGCCAGCCACAATTCTGCACAATATAAGAGTTTAAAATTACCTGATTTAACAGTGCTGTTTGGCAGACGTGGCCCAGTATTATTCTGACGTTTTTCTTCTAACAGTAGTCTTACATCTGCAATTTTCTCTGAGGATCCTTTACTGCCAATCCGATTTTTTATGTTACTGGTTGCTATGCTATCTGCTCGCATAGAATTCCTAAAAAAATATAATAATAGATTTAACATCCCTTAAATGAAATGAGATCTAGTATCGTTCTTAAGTCTTCTTCTATGTAAAATTACATCACAGAAAACAGTAATATCAGGATTTCTCTACTGAGAAACAGAGGTAAAACTTTACTTAGAAGAGCATGTGTTCCAGTCAGAATCCTAAATTTAGCAATAATCACATGAATACCCCAGTATCCATTTCAAAGCAGGTATTGAGTTTGTCTCAAGGTTGTGCCTCTTGGTCAAAATTAAGAGCAGATAAGCAACCTCAAAACTGTTGAAAGACTTGACATTATAACAAAGTATAATCATACTACTGAAAAGATGTATGTTCAAGTTATTTTAACAATCTACAGTGTATGTGATTTTGGCTAATATGGCCATAATGAATGTAAATTCCTTTTTGTCTTCAACACTTACAGGTTATTCTTTCTGAGAAAAGAGGAAGGGATAAAGGGAAAAGAGAAAGAGGAGTTATTTCTCCCTGGCCTAGCTATGAAATGCAAGAAATTAATTGTGCTTGCTTGCATACATTTCTGTTGATTCCACTTTAAGTTTCATTATTACCAATAAGCAGGGCTACTGAAACGTGCGAAGGAAACTATATTTTAAAAATGCTAATTGTAATTAAAAGCCTGAATCAGTGTTTTCTGTATTTTGTATTTCTTTGTAAAATATCTACTCCAAGAATATGTTAACAATTGAAAAAGTAGCTTCAACCATTTGTCTTTAAGCTTTGACAGCTCTGTCACTAAAATTTAGAATGCCTTTTCACTGATACTTTTAAAGAATAAGAAACTTTTACCTAATATTTTTCAGTTGTGATTCCACCTCATCTGCATACATTGTCATTTTCATGCTCTTTTTGGGAGACGGTGTTGATATCATTTTCAGTTCAAGATCATAGTCCATTTCATCAGAATCAGATGCACTAGCACTTGATCGTCTTGCTGCACTGCGGTCTCGGGACTGTTTGAAAGCTTGCAGTTCATCACGGTACTCTACCACAACTCTGTCATCTTCATCCATATCCTGATCTTCTTCTTCCTCTTCCTCCTCAATGGGCTCCTCAGGAACATTTACTAAGCCTGTAGCAAAACAAACTGATTCTGATAAACTGAATTTTATTGTTCTTACAAGGCAGCTTAAAACCAAATAAAAAAAAAAAAAAATCACTGTAATTAATGATCCACTACAAATGAGTCTCTGTAGTTCTCTAAGGAAGGAGAGTGAGTGTTTTGCAAACTATTCTAAGTGGAACCTGCATTACTGAATAGCCTAAGTGGAAGATGATCACCACAGGAGATAAAAAGTCCACGGTGTTCACTATCTCAGAAGCCTGCTCAAGCATAAAGCTGGACTGAATATATAAAGTGCAACTGCCTCTTGCAGTAGGTGCAGTTCATACTTCCTGAACTAAGCATGACAATTCCTACGATCTTGCAGGGCTTAATGTAACAACTGCTGGCTCCACAATAATCCTTTCAAGTCCTGTAAGCAGCAATGCCAAAAAGAACACATGTATCATTAGTATGAATTTATTACATACACTGATTTAAATATAAATCAACAACTTAAATTTAGTCATCAGCAGTGTGCAAGCATCTTTTCAGAATGCAGCACATTATCAACATGCAACATCTTCCATGAGGTTTGATACATCCGTGGCTGTATTTTTAACAGGCCACTCGTATGAAACTTTGACACTGTATTTGTCTCACGTCAAAGATTTTTATACCAATTATTTTTCTAATGCACATCCCCTACCTTAGGGAGCAGATGAAGACATTCAAGCCTAATTAATAGAATTTTCTAATCTTTATTATTCTATATCTGGAGGCTGCTTTTTCACAGAACAAAGAATTTACATAGCAAGTATGACAAATTGCCAAGAAGTTTAAAGAAGTTATCTCTTCTTTTTGTCCTTGATGCTATATATAGCCCTCATGTTCCAAATTTGTAGAAAAAATATCACATAAAAAGTAGCACCTATTTTGGTTAGTCAATGAGCAGTGTAAAGTTTCTCCCTCACTTGTTCCCTGCAAACTTTTAAAATGCAATTCAGTTATAGTTTTTAAAAGCACATTTCACTTCAACACACCTCAGGGGATTACATAAGGCATTGTTTAAGGTCCTTTCCAGCCCTCCATTCCCCAGCTGTGTTTTTACAGAGTCCACATATTGGCATCAATTACCTGAATGACGATGTTTATAAGGAGGAGTCAAGCCAACATCATCCCCAATAAGTGTCCTTTTCTTTATCACATCCCGATGGATTCGACGTGAATGGTATCTTCGTTTCCTGAAACACCATAAAAAGAATGACATTCCTGTCACAGAAGAGGCATCATCCATGAGCTACATTCAGTCCTGGATTAAGCATATGCAATTATAACTGACTTTAACACATTTATGTCAGATATCTGTTCTGGATGTTTTGAATATAAACATTCTTTATTTTAATGAGAAAATACTCCCCTTGCAAATACAGTCACATTGCAAAAACATCATTCACACAAAAGAAGCATCTACATATAACGAATAGAAAGAAAATGCACAAATTAAAACAGTTTTATACTATCTTGTCCAATTACTTGGAAAGTTCCAAATCCTCTATCCAGTACTCACCACGAATTGCTAAGAATCCCCTTCATGCCTCCGTAATTCGGATTGCCATATTTCATGTAATACTGGCTTCGCCTTGCAGCTCCCAGCTCTTTTTTGTCATCTGAAAAAACATAAATTAAAGAAATATTTCCCTCTTAGAATGTATCTTACAACACTTGCATAAAAATAAAGAACACAGAGTGAAAGTAAGACTGAATATGTCTTAGAGATCAGCATTGCTTCAATATCCTTCACGAAGGGTACAATTTTGCTGACACTTCTGAAATTTCTCCTAATACCATTTGTGTCCAGAAGCTTAGAGAGACTGAATTTCTACATATCAGCTTAACAGAGTATTATATCCCACTGTAACACTGGAGGCCATACTTACCTTATTCATGACCTTTTCTTTAGGGATCTGTCACTTCCCACATGGCCAGAAATTATATGGATTTTCATTTTACTCATAAATACAATTTAATACCTCAGCTGTATTTAGGAATAATTTCCAATAATACCTCAACAGCATCTCAAATGATTTTCATATTTATAAAACATTAAATTTATCTCTGCAGAGGAAGGCATCATAAAACCTATTCTAGGGTATTAGGAAGAATGCCCTGAGCCCAAGATAAAATTTTTAAGTACAATAATTTTCAAACAACTTGAACTGGATTTAATTCACACATTAAATGTGGATTTATTGCGAAATCTTAATACCTAATGATTAGCAAAAAACCCTAACAATTTTGCAAATAAAAATTAGGCACTTCAAGTCATTAATTAGTCAACAAATAAAACTACAAGTGATTAATTCATTATGCTTGTTAAGCTGTTCATTTACCTTTAGTAGCAAATCTCATGAATAGCTTGTTTCCTTTAGCCAGTTTATTGGCAGGGCGAAGATCATTACGCAGGAGAGAATCCTCTTCTACCTGGGAGAGGGCATCCAACTTTGGGGGGCAAAAAAGGTATTTTGGACTCAAAAATAAAATTATTGTTGAACAAAAATGGATTGCTTGCAAAGAAGCAATCAACTCATTATTAAGGAAGTTACTTTTCAAATTGCGTTCAAAGGAACTCTGCTTTTGTTCTTGACAAACTAGTGAGAATTTTTAAAGTAATTTGCCCTAAAGATTTAAAATATTTCTTTCTGTTCCTTCATAACATTATCTCAGATTATTAAATCCAATAATTTTCAATTGCCACTATACTACTGACTGAAATGAAGAAAATGAATAGTACAACTTGGACACTGAAAAACAACTATTTGATTTTTTTGCTTGTTTCATATCTAAATGGTTTTACTAACAGGTTCTCATGACCTCACACAATAACTAAAAGGCTTTTTTTTTTCCATTTATATCTGCTTTATAGAAACTAAAATTCAGACTTCCATGATGTATGAGTGTTCACTGAGCCATTCCTAAAGAAAATACTAATCACACCTATTATATATTCAGCCAGTGAAAATTAAATTACTTACAAAACATCAATACATATGCTGATTCCCACACATATCTATGGACAGTCTAAATCCTATTTGTCTCTTTAAGCACTGCCTTCACTGCTGAAAGGCCGTTGTCTTCCATTATTGTTCTTTCATTGCCTCCTCTCAGCAGAAAAGAGCAGCCAGTCTAGCTTTTACGTGCTCGATGCCCTAGCCCTCCTCAAAATCTACTTTCACTAAACACTCTGACATAGTTATTCTCACCAACAGCATATCTGCACTTCCTGTCACTTCTAATTTACTTTGATAATTAAATTGTGAATTGCAGATTGATATGGTTAAAACTATAATGTTATTAAGACTTCATACCAGTCAGAGCAAAATTTCCATAGTAGTATTTTTACTTTCCTTCTGTACTGACCTCAACATCACTTGGATTGTCATCCTCAACCTCGCCTTCTTCTGTCTCATCATCAGAGCTTTCCTCCTGTTTTTCTAAGAAGGAAAATAATTGGGGAAAACAAAAATAACTTCCATTTTAGTGTGTCAATCACATTTAATTAATATTACCTACATTCTCTGAAATCAAACTGAAGGTGTTATCCTTTCTTCTGTGCAGCCTAGAGAATAATCAAAACTGTAAATGTCCACAGAAATTTGAAGCATGCATGAGCACAGAGTAACATTAACTAGACAGCCTCTGTGCAAGTAATTGCCTTCGGCAGCACACAAGTATTACTAATTCTTTGAAAGCAAATGAAATTGCACTGCATTTCAGGGTATGACAGAGATCAGCAAGGCCAAGATTGTAAAAGGCATATAAAAGCCTATTTCCTTCAGCTTTCCTTTAAAATGCAGCAAGCACCTGCAAGTATCCAATACTAATAATGTAAAACAGGTTATTATTCAGAAGTTTCTGAGACAGAAGACACAAAACCCCAACACTTTAGTGACTTCATTTTGAAGTGAAATAACTAACAGAAGAGTGCATGCTTCTAGAACTACTAAAGATGTGAGATGCTTGCTCAGAGTGAGAATATTGATATTGGATTTTTTTTTTTCCAAACAGGTCTCAAAAAAAAAGTAGTGAATATGGACAACTATCAACATATACCAATACATCTGCAAAGATCTCAAAGTACTTCATAGATATAAGACTAAAAAAAAAATCCACTTCTATATTTCAGAGTTCCTTATCTTAATTTCATCCAACAATAAACTTGAAAACTTAAAATAGAGAGCAGCATCTTCAAAAGATGCTGACAACATACCCAAGTTCAAAGAAAAGAGTAAAGCACAATTAACTAAACTGAAACCAAAGAAAGAATTTAGGTAAACAAACTAGCCAAATTAGAACTTAATTATTCAGGTTTGATCAGGGACAGCATTCAAGCACTTTTTTTCCCCCCAAATGATAAATTTCTCACTGTAAAGACTGGTCTCTTGCTTCCATAAATGCCTAAATAGACCTCAAATTCCTATCTAAAAAAAGAATGCAACTAATCCAGATTACACCAGTGTATCTGTATGGATCTCACACCTTAAGCTGTAATCAAACAGTTTGTACTTTATCTAATATCCCACTTTTCTAGATGAAAGGGAATAATTTAGATGACAGCTTTTGAGATGTGCTATCATGATGATATAATATGTAATTTGTAGCCAACAATATTAAATGCATATAGTTATGCTCTGTTTAAATAGGACAGTTACTCATATCCAAAAACTTCATAACAAGTCTTACTTGAAGTATTATCAACATTTGCCCCAAAATTAGTCACATGGATGGTTGAGGAGCCACTGCATTGTGGAAAAAAGCAACAAGAAAAGGAGGATGAGTTAGAAGGACCCACAAATTTGACAAAGCCCTAAACCCCAAACCTTGTAGAACAGCTTTTGGTGGCACTGCAAATATCTAACAGAGAGATTGGATATTTGCATTTTGCTCATATAGCATGTTCAAGCAAAATCTTCGGAAGAGTTAATAAATACAACATCTCTCTCTGCTTTGTACCGTGTAGTACAGTACTTTGAACCACAGCAATTTATCACACCAGCCTAAAAGCAAAACAGTCCTAGGGTAGCAAAAGTCTGATTTTTAATTTACACCCATACAAGTAAAATAAATTTATAACTCAGGCATTCCGGTACCAGATTTATCACAACAATGAGATGTACTTTCACTGCTTTGCTGTTTTGTAACAGACCTTTCAGTGTGCTTCTTTCTTGAAAGTGTAATGGCAAAATTTAGAGATGATACACAGTGGTGACATGATAGAATGTCACATCAGTGTGAATTATATACTTAAAGGATGGTGGTGTATCAAGAAAGGAATCGACTGTGGTATTTCAAAAATAGGACATTTTCTTACATGTTTTCTCCACACTTAGAATTGGTCCTTTTACTGCCTTTGTACACCCATCACACAGACTAATTTCTGTGCAATATGTACCACTATAAATATTGTATCTGAATATGATCCTGCATCTAACATGTTCAGTATCGACTGAATTACTGCTTTTGGTCTAGCTCCAACCCACCTTTTAAGAAGCAGCTTCTTCAAAAGGTTTCCAAGATGAAAGCCTTTTTTAAAGTGGCAGAATACATTTACCTGAAACTATATGATAGAACCTCCTTCAGTAATTTAGATTACGCACTACCCAAGCACAAGTTTAAAGTTTCATTGGTTTAACTAGATGATCTCTATATATGCATATCTCAATCTACCTTTCTTGTTTTTTTCAGACGTCTTCTCTTCATTGTTTTCTCTGCTTTTTGTTTTCTCCTGATCAGGCAAGGAACTCATATTTATTAGAGCCCGTGTTGCTGTTACTTCATCAAGCCAGACCACATTACCTATGACATATATAAACACACACAAAACCAAAACGTAGTTTGTAGAATCAGTCACATACATGGCCCTACTGGAGGCAAATTACTAACAAAAGTTCAGACACATTCTTATATAGTGACATGACAAAAAAAGGAATCAGATGTACCTCTTGCAGGGAAAGTCATATTCTTTAACACACTTGATAAGCTGGGGGACACACAGCTTTCACCATATTACCAAAAACCACACACAACTGATCAAAACCAAAATCGCTGAAATATACCACCACATATATTACAGACTGCTTCCTAAGCACAGCAAATTAGGACATCAAACCAGGGTCACTGTATTTCATGAATGTGGTAGCACACAAATGCCATTAAGGGGACAAAGGGAGAAGAAAGAAGCCTTGATTTTTTTTCCCTTTGGCATCTTTGGCAATTTAACATAACTTTGGACTTTATTGTGGAATTCTGTTAATCTTTTCAAAAAAAACAGGAAAATAGGGGAAAGTAGGAGAGACTGCTCAAGCGCTTTGCACAGATTATCCTGTACACAGGTTAACAACATGATTCTGTACATGCCTTGTACATGCCTTAATTATGAGCAGATGATACTAAAATATAACTTATGAAGCCAATTAAAAGGATTTCATAGATGTTGAAATTGAAAGAGCTAAAACTGCTTAGAAACAGGTTTTGAACAAAAGCTTTCTGCACGGATGCATTCAGTGCAAATACAGCAACAAATGTCATTTACTGCTCTGCCATTAAGCAGAATGTATTCAGATCTCAAGAAAACTATACTGTCCAAAACCAAAAGCTTCTCTCTTAAACTACTCAGACAACATTTAGAAGGTGAATAACACCCAGACACTAACTGCAATGACTAATTATAATAATGTTAATAATGACTGACTAATAATTTTTCAATTATGTATACCTACCTGCTCTTCACATCTCCAAATTTTCAAAGCCTTTATCGTTTTATGTTCACCAGTTTGAAGCACAGAACACTGTCTAAATTCGTCTTTGCACTAAGATACCTTGAGATATAATTCAGTTGGGAATGTTAAAATTTTTGCCATGCTGTGATGAAAATCTATGCTGAAAAGACAATGTTTTCTTGGTATATTCACCAAATGTAGTTGGCACGCCAACTCAGAGCATGAAAATTAATCACTAAAAAAGATGTGTTTTAACTATAACTTGGTTAAGTCTTGTTGTGACTCCACAGTGCATTTTTTCACTGCAAGTTCATTCTGGTTCCACGCTAAATTTACTCATGTAACATTTATGAAAAAGGATAATCAGACAATCTTAGAAATGAAGCCTTGGATAGAGTTAAGCTGTAAACTTGCTAGCTCATGCATCACCACAGGTTCATCTAGCAGATCTTTTCTGCAATTGTCCTGCTCATTGCATTTCCAATTTTCTGTCACGTTGTGGCACTATATCAAGCTGTCATACACAGTGACTTCAAGGTTACCAATATTTTGTAGTATGTCACATCTTTTGTCTTGCACTGAAACGTAATTCCTTCAGGGTCATTCCAGGGAACCATGTTACTAATTCTCAGGTGTTAGCCATGCCTGTCAATAAATCAGTTTCCAGCAATCCCAATCCAAACAGAAAACCTGCATTGGCACCTACTTATTTTTAGATGATTTCAGTTACACGGTTTCTAGCCACGTGACAATCTCAGAGCCTTCCAGTTCCATGATACAGCCCAACTGTAGTAAACTGCTCTTGTACAATCTTTAATACCACTGAAGAAAACATAAGACTCAACAACCTTGTGTGTTTCTGGCAATCTCACTGCATGCTTAGTCCCCAAAACAGCCCTTGCAATGTGAATTTATATTGCTTTTCCAATCTATGTAAATCACATTCAGCTGCTACCTTCTTCCACCCACCAATTTCTACTTCAGAATGCACTAAACAAATATAGCAACAAGTCTGCTCCTTCACAGCACAAAGCCATACCAATCTCCCTAACTGCACACAGATCAATAATCTTCTCAGAATGTCATCTTTTGTGACACTTACAAGCAGGTATATTATTTATGTCAAGATGTAAGCAGCACAAACTTTTAGACCTTTTTTTTTCTCCTCTTAGAGACCCACAAGTTATTCTATTCTATCTCTTTCCAATAATAAACACTCAACCAGATAGTGGGTTTGATGTTCACAATATGCTACTATTTCCTTCTGAATCTCTTTTCACTAAGGCAAATGACAGGGAAACAGAGACAAAGATCAGTGACTTTGAAAGTCACTAAGACATGTGAAGTACAGCAAGGACTGATATTAAAAAAAGAGTAAGAATTACAGACAAAAAACTCCATTTACTTACACGACGTATCATCTAACCACTCAATATGAGCAGGAGGATATTCTTTGAAATAGGCAAAAATGTCTTGTGTACTCATCTCATCCACTCCACAAATGTAAATCGTGTCCAGTCTCACTTTAGGAATTGCTATAAAGAAAAAGAGATACAAAACTAGTACTTATTCCTATAGAGCAAACTTTTATACTAGTAGCATATGGGTTTATAAAGCAAACATTTAAAATAAGCTAAAGGGAAGCTAATTAAAGCAACATATGGTGTACACCATTCTAAAACACCGTAACTTGAATTATTATTCCACAGTGCAAATTTTTAATAAATAGAGAATTGACAAAAAGTAACATTACAAGAATTGGTAGATGCAGGTACTGCATAACAATCAAGCCACCTTAAAACCAATTTATTTCTTTTAAATACTGCCAAAGTACTACCATTAAGCATTAAAGAGCCAGATGACTAACGAGGCCTTGACCAGGACACATGTATAAATCACCTCCACTTGTATCATCTGATGGAGAGCTGTTACAAGCCATGGCTTAGTGGGTCCAAGCTGCCAGTTGGAAAAAAAGCCTTGAGAACTAACCGGATGCCAAAAGCACACACAGCTGATCTGCTTATATTCTAACATGAGCAGCTTGCCATCTAAAAGCACATGTGCAATCAGTCCAGCTTCACTGTGTGTACAGCACAGAACGGGATCTCACTGTGCACGGGACACAGAGTCCTCCACTTGTACACAAACACTGCTCAAGGTCTGGTCCCTTCAAAGAATTTAAACATTCTTAAAGCAACACTGATCCAGAAAATGCATCTTGGACTTGCAGCACTAGGTGCCAGTGCCAAATGGTAAATAAAGTACACAAAAAATGTTGCTTTCTTTTGGGGCAAAATGATAACTGTCAAGTACTTTGAAAAGTAAATACATGAAAATAAAAAGGTGAAAAAACTCACAGAATTATTTCTTTTGGCAATTACCTAGGAAAACTTCAGAGGATGCAGAAAATATTATAGGATAAATCAAGTAAAGGAATCGTGAAGAAGTAAACAGAGGAATCTTTTTTTCTTAACTGTTGGATAAACCCATACCTTTCTTCATCATGTCCCGATCCAGTGCCACATTCCTTTGGGCAAGATTCACCTCAGCTCGAAAATGAAAGCGTTTTGCTCTTTGTTCCTTCTTCTCAATTGCTTCCTGTAAAATGCAAAACAATGCATTCAAAGCAGGAATCACAGCAGCATTCCCAACAAATTGCACTGAAGGACCAGGTATTTAAAATAAAATCTACCAGACAGCAACAATCTATGTTAATAATTCTATTAATTCTGAAGCAACCTGTAAGTTTCAGCATGTAGAAATAATTCACTAAAACATTTCTGCCACATAGTAGTTTTAATGTAGGTAACAACATAATGGGCATGAAGATGCATGGAAAACAAGGTACCTCAGACAATGCTCAGACTCCGTGATGGAACAGTAACATTATCTTATCCTTCCTAATAATTGTACAGAGGCTGCTCTCAAATAAAAGCTCTCTTAAAACAAGCATTTCCACCACATGGTCAATTTGTCTTTTAAGGTTATAGAGATTCTTCCCTATCTGTTTTTTAAATATATACAAAAATGTCAACTTGTCTCTCTGAGCATGAATTTAACACTAGCTGGAGTGTTGACTATAAAGATCTTATTTAGCCTGGCAATTCGTGCTGCTTTTAAGTAGCTCATGAGCAACAGCTTACATGGATCTTGTGCAATTCTTGAAACTGACTGAGAAGCCTCTTATTCTACAGAATTTATTAGGAAGCATTATAGATTTTTGGATCCTACTAATGAAAGTCAAATTTGGAAAACAAACTGCGATTAAGCAAAAACTGCCAACAGTGATATTCAAGTAAACATGGGCTTTTTACTCATTTTTAAAGACTGCCAAAACATCTTTGGCCACATTTCTTAAAGTTTTTCAGAGTTGCATCATTAAGGAACCTAACAAAAGATGACAGCTTTCACCTGACTAGGGGAACTTCAAATTCTTTACCAAATTACAAAACACATGCTAAATATTGAAGCCGAAGAGTTGACTTTCAGCCTTCATCTGGAACCCCTTTTGTAGTTTTTGATAAGCACAATCTTCTGATGTTCACTAATACAAAATGGGAATATGTGATCTGTCAGCACACTGTTGTGGTGGGGATTCATACTTGTTAGAATGTGTAAAAATGTATTGGTCCTATAAAGTATAGGACTAAATGGGTTTTTTCCACTACCAAATGCTAGATTATAGTGGTCAATTGTACAAAATGGAACAACAGCCAATTTGGTATTAAACGTGTAGCTGCAGGATTAAGTTTCTGAAGTTCCACAGAATTATGTAACTAAGTTATTTAAATGCAACAGCTGTTCACAGTCTTCAAACCATGTTTTTAATAATTAAACAATAAGATGCCCTTGGAAGATACAAGGCAGTGAAACTAGATTTTCCTCCCAAGCACTTGTTCTTCCTTCTGTCACTCGCTAAGATTTTGTGCATGTTGGAGAAGAAATAAATGAAATGGTTCCTCCTTTCCAGTAGCAATAACTAGAATATATTGAAGAACCATAGTACAAAAATTACCTTGGAGGTTACATCTATTCCAGTAATGAAACTTCCAGCCTTGTTTTCATATCTCCTACTAGTGTCCTGAAACAAAGCAAAAGGGTGGTGAAACCTCAGTGAACACTGAAAGCAACATATTTGCTATGCTAAAAAAAAAATATCTGGCCATTTCTATGAGAAATACATCCTCTTTTCCTTGATCCTTACTCCAAACTACATCCCTCGATAAGACATGTACACAAGCAATAACTCTCACTGATGTCAGTAAAGGTAAAAGTATATGAACTGAACCAAACTTCTTTTACTGTAAGGATTCTTTCCTTAGCAAAATTTTAGTTTCTGTGTCTGCCACTGCTATGGTTTTTACTTACTCTCTCTCAGCAATACAGAGAAAGTCATCAAACACCTTCCCTAACTAAAATTTCCACAATTTTGGTTTTGGGTATCATTTCCTTGTAAAACATCAACAAATTTAATGGTTATACCTGAACCCCAAAGTGTCAATTTGCAACTTTTAGTCTCAAAAGTCAGAACACAAAGCCATATCCACAATTAAACAAGTAACTTTTACCCCTATTCCTATCAATATTTCAAACCCACCTTTCAAATACGAGCAAGATAAAGCATTACTGTTTTGATACAATCCTACTGATAAAGAGTAAAACTGGAGAATGATGTGGAAAAAAATTTACAAGTTTCATTTCCATCAATAAGGACTGATGAATTCACAAGACTGTACTAAACCACACAGATCCTGGACCCAATGACACAACTCTGTCCCTTCCATGGTTCACATACTCAAAAATGGCACCTCTTCATTCTGGCACCCTCAGGACCATCACCTGGCAAAACTTTGGAGCTGCAAGAACACATCTTGCTTTTTTTGAGGGATAAACATGTTGTTTACATTTGTGCTGCAATAATTATTTTGGCTAAAGGACTTTTTCTAGAAAGCAGGCCAGTCTCAGTTTATAAATACCAAAGTACACACAAACTAACTGCTTTTCTTAGTAACAACGTCAGAGTTTCTCCGAAGCTGCCAAATGTTTAGAGTTATTAAAAAGAAAAGCAAAGTAAGTATTATTTTTAAAGACCTCCACAGTCTAAGGTTGACTCATGGAGCACAAGGAACTACAGCCAGGTGCTGTCTCTTTGGCCACATATTTGGTAGAAGCTCAAGCATGTTGGTAAATCAGCTAATTAGAGATTAGTTTCTGAAGTAAATTCCACACAAGTTTTGAGCGCAAAAGACTGCTTTGAAAGTTAGAAGAATCCTGACCCATTTTTATGGGTCCTACTTAAAGTTGTATGGGAACAATTAGCAAAAATGAAAACAAGTAAAAAAAAATAGAAGGGAACCCTCAGAATCCACTCATCAGAGCCCACGTTCCCAGTAGCTCCAACTCAGTACTGCCATGGTCACCCCTCCCTGCTCACTACTCTGCATGTTCCTTGCATCAAGCACTGCTTTTACTCTCACCCATACACAGCCCTACTCCATAGTCTACCACTACACCCTAAGTCCTCTTTTCCACCACTTCCTTTATTCTTTTCACTCTGAAGGCCATCCTGGCCGCCTCCTTTTACAATTTGCCCTCAAAATTCCTCCTGACACCTCTCAGCCCTCTCCTGGCCCCACTCCCTGCCACCCTCACCCTATCGCTTCCCCTCATGTACCTCCCAACCCACGTCGCCCCTTTCCTCACGAATGCATCCCCAAACGCCCTCACAGCTCCCAGCAGACCCCCACCCCAGCACCCTCAACCCTCCTTACGTACCCTGTCCCCCCTCAGGACCTGGTCCTTCCTTCGTCCCCCCTGCCCGTGACCCCACCGCACGCCCCTCACCGGAATGAGCTCCCGGAGCGAGCGCCTCACTGGGATGGTCTCCAGCTCGCCCTCTTCCACCTCCATAGGCTCAGGCTCCGGGCCGCGAGGCTCCGCCGTTGTCGCCGTTGCCTCCGCCTTCACCGAGATCCGCAGGCCCCGCACAGCCGCCATGGCTCCGCCAGGACCGCCCTCCGCCCGGCCACAGAGACGGCGCCGCCGCGGCACAGAGCGTCCCGCCCAGAAACACCACAGAGACGGCAGCGCGCGGATAGAGCGCCACCAGAAGCCAGGACCGGTTGAGGGGCCAGCACGCTCAGGCACACACCACGGCCATAGAGACGCCGGGAGAGCGCGGCGCCGCCGGTCCTCCAGGGCTACGGAGAGCAGGAGGGCTACACCGCCATTTTCCCCCGGCGTCGGCAGCCGAGCCGCGGGCGATCCGCGCTGCGCGCACAAATCCAGAACCGGGCGGGCGTGGGGGGGTTGTAAGGGCCAGACCTGCTCTGCTTCCTACGACGATTTGTATAAAAGTGATCTCAATTCTTAAAATGTTCACTCCCCCCCCGCCCCCCCACCGTACTATAGGAAGATCCCTCCGGATATTTACATCTCTGGGAATATAAATCCAATTTTCAACTTAAAGTTCCCCGGAGTGAGCCTGTGTGCTATTGCTCTTGGGCTTAGTTATACTCTTTGTCAAGAATTGTTTTCTCACCCAACATGTTCAGGCTCTTTCAAGAGAGAAGCCCAGTCTCCCCTTGGCCTAAATAAACCATACTGGTTTCATCTGTCTCCATGACACAAATCATAATATACACTATTTATGCTCATCAGCTCTCTAGCCCTCCCACACAATGGACCAGAACCATGTTCTAGCTGAGGGCTTGCTCCTGCCTTGGCGTCATTTCCCCATCTGTGGTGTAACACCCCAACTGACTGGTTCCACAGCCACATCCCCTCATCACCGTGAATTACCACCACCCTTTCTGTCACACCCAGACAATTTCATTAAGAATTCCTAATACTCCTCCAGCTGCAGGACTCTTCCATCCTGCTCAGGCTGCTCCACTCCTCAGTTCCACACATTCTTCAAACCTAAACCCTCCGGCCCATCCACTGCGATATGACACTTCCCCTCCAAATTGACAGAACTTCCCAGCAAAATTCAGTATTAAATTTTGATTTTTATCATGAAGAAATTTTGCAGCTGGCAACATAAAGGCTCCTCCCCTTGCACATAATCCAGCAGGACTAATATATCTTGCCTCCCATCAAAACACTCTAGGCTTATTTATTTTTAACAGTCTCTGCACAGAGTTCAACACAATAGCGAATGTCACCTGCATTCACCAAAAGTGCTATATTTGGTGGTGACATCACATAGCCAGCATCCGGCAGGAACATCTGACACAGGTGACACTTCCAAGGCAGGTGTGAATGGTTATGGCAGAGGCCACACACACATAATGTGAACACAGGAGTAGTAAACAGGACATAAATACCTCCTGCAAGGAGCAGATTCTGAAATCATTTCAAGAGGAAACACATTTCTGTGGCAAAAACACTATTTCTTGAGGTCACAGGGAAAAGAAACCAAAAGATACAAAATTAAAACTAAAGGAGGAGAAGGTGCAAGTAGGATGACACAGTGTTGATGTATACGATCTAGACCGGATTTACAAAGCTTAACCCTTCAAAGTAATGGTTAGGGCAGGACTGTGACACAACGTTGCCTTGCACTGCTGTCCTTAAATAGCAAAGCCTTTGGTTAACCCAGATGTTTCCTTATTTTGTTTTAACATCCTTGACTATCACCTAAGGGCAGGACATTGCTATACTACAGTACTCTCCACTTGGCACAATTTCAAGACTCACTCACTGAACTCTGCAAGAAATTTTCCACTGATTAACTGGAGCTTTAGATCAGTTGCCAGAGTTTTAGAGCTCCTTAGGAAAAATCAGCTCTAGGCTGACTGGTAGAGACAATAAAATCACAAGAGGAAATCAGGCTGTGAGAGAGGAAAATCAGCTCTGGGTGCCAGTGGGGCTTTTACTGCCAGGTAGGTGAATGGAATATTTTCTTGATATTCTACAACTTCTTTCAGCATCTGTTTTTTTAACAGTGAATTCTTCAGAATTACAATTTGATTTGCTTTTCTAAGACTTTGGCCAAGAGCTCTGTTTTCCTTTCACATTCATCTCAGGCTGCAATACCTCTGCCTGTGAAAACCAGTATAGGAAGCAGGTTTGCGCAGATGGGCTCCACCTTTATTGTAGCTTTTGTACAGAAAGGATGGGTCAAGGGTAGTAAACTACTGAGGAGTGCAGGGGTTAAAATGTGGGAGGAAAAAGGAATTTGGAAGAGGTAACTAGTCATTATCGGGAAAAGCCCTAAGTAAGAAAAGACTGTTACAAATAATGAAGGCCACAGAGTAACTGAATAAGAAATTCCAGCTTAAAAGTAGCAAAAGGAGCGTTTTATGGCAGGAAAGTGTTACTTATTTACCCATTCCCGACCACCAGAGGGAACTCTTGCAACAAAATTCCCAACTGCTTGTAGCAGAGAAAATCAAACCTGATGAAAACCTCCACCACAAAAAAACTCCGTTAGTTTTGCGGTTCGTCTGAAAACAGGGGGAGATGGGATGCAAGGGTGGGGTCTGGGAGAGAAAAAAAAAAAGCGGTCTGTGAGCCCTCAGTCAAATGGAGACTTTTTTACAGTGGTCTGGCAGGAGTCGGAAAAATGGTGAATTTTGCCATTGCAAGAAAGTCCTTGTTTGTTTGTTTCTTTGAAGTCTATGAACAACTGAACAGAATTAACATCTTTTCTTGCTGCTGTGATTTAACTCTCCTAGTGTCCTGGGATCTCAGCAAGGATCTGCAGCTTTTCAAATCTGTGGAAAAGCTAGGCATAGAAGTGTGCTATTTCTGCAAACTCCACACATCTCCAGGGAAACTGGGACTATAGCTTCCAAATAGATTATGACTGGCTCCTACCTACAGTCCATCTGGAGAGAGAACAGGATCAGCAGAGGAAGGATGTTCATTTGTTAAACCATTGGATAAGCTGAAATCAAGCACCTGGTGTTTTCTTACATATTTGGTGTCTCCCACCTGTAAGACAGAATACTTGCTCACTGGGATATTGTGAAGATTAATATATCCCTAGTTACCTGATACAATGCCAAAGTCCCATCTATGAGACAATTACAGGGCTCCAAAGTGCCCTGCAAGAAATTAGAGATGCCGTCAGGCAGGAACATGGCACCCTCATAGTTAAGGACAGTTCTGGTCTAACATTATGTTTATATAAGTGCTACCACATGGATACCACACAGTTGAAAAAGCACATTCCTTTGTGGGAAAAGCTCAGAGAATTGAGCAAAGCTGGAACAGAATTCAATACATATTTATCCAGGCTCTGTAGACATTACTCTGTAATTTAAGAGATCTCAGAGAACAACCTAAAAGTGGTAATTATTGCTTAATTCTTACAGATATCACTTTTTATCTATGCATGTGCACACACATGCATTTCTCTGTGGCATCAGTGGAACCTAAACTCTCTCCTGTTTGCAGGCAACCCTGCAGGTTACCTCCTACGGTAACACATTGAACTGTCCTGCATATAAATAACTTTTTCTTCTGCAGAGCTATTTTTAACCCAGAACAGTGCATTGGCCTAATTCAGCATGTAGTCCCATGAAAACAGCTGTGCTGGCACAACCGTGTGGCGGGAATGCGCAGCTGGCAGGGAAGATGAGGACGGGAACTGCTGGTAGAGCGCTGGAGGAAAAAAAAAAAAGCACAGCGAGCTGCACCCTCGCGTGCAGACAAGCGTGGCTTCACACAAGCTACCACAGGGAGCGGCAGAAGCTGGGGAGGCATCGGGGAGCTGGGACGCTCAGGGGACTAGCCTGCAGCCCTCCTAACGGGGTGTACCAACTGCAGAGAAAAGTCTTGGCCGCCCTCCTGGGGCGAGGGCCGGTTTACACTGGCGCCCCTGAAACCTCCTCCCGCCGGCCCGTCACAGAGAAGCCGATGTGAGAGCCCCGGCAAGGCGCGAGGAGAAACCGGCCCCGGAGACGGTCGCTACAGCCCTCCCCGCCCCGCACCGCACCCAGAATAGACCATCCCGGCCGCTGGCAATCCCCGCCGGGACTCACACAGCGAGCGAAGACCCCCCACAGCTCCGCCGCTCCCCTCAGGGCCGCGTTCCCGCCTCCGCCTCGAGCCCGCCCTGCGCGCGCCCCCGCCCACAGCACATGCGCCACGCGCCAACCAACCGACAGATCCCACCCCCGGCGGCCGGGTCGCGCGGGGAGATGACGTCACACATCCCCCCCCCCCCCTCGTCTCCCGCGTGCGGTCACATCCGGTACGTCAGGGCAGGGCAGGGGCCGCCATTTTGGGTGGCAGGGCTGGGCGCGGAGCGGGGCACCGCGGGCGGCGGCGGCCCGCGGTGTGGGGGGGGGGGACACACCGAGTGCGGCCTGCCTGCGGGCGGGCGGGCGGCTCCCATGGCCGGGCAGTTCGACTCCGAGGACCGGACGAGCTGGTACTGGGGGCGGCTGAGCCGTGCCGAGGCGGTGTCGCTGCTGCAGGGGCAGCGCCACGGGACCTTCCTGGTGCGCGACTCGGGCACCATCCCCGGCGACTTCGTGCTGTCGGTGTCCGAGAGCTCCCGCGTCTCGCACTACATCGTCAACAGCCTGGGGCCGGCGGGAGGCCGGCGGGCCTGCGGCGAGGGCCCCGGGGCCCCGGGTGAGTGACCCCCAGGGCCGGTGCTGTCCCCCCCAGCCCCTGCCGCCCCGGGGAGGGCAGCTGGGGCCGCCGAGCCCCCGGGCGCGCCGCCCCACGGGCGGTTCCGCTCTCCTCCCGGGCGTTGTTTCAAATCGTGAAGCTTTTTGTAGTGGAATTAAGTCGTGTTTTGCAGTTGGGGCTACTGACCGCGCTGAGCCGCCTGCTTGCACCTGCCTTCCAACCACCTAATACCGTAGTTAAACATATGCTGGAGTTGAGTGCTTATTGCAGCCCTCCTGAAAGATCCCGCTGCTGTAGCGCTCCCATATTCTTTTGTTTTCATAAACCAAATAACTGTAGTTACAGTTTTACAGGTAGATGTTTGCATGTCATCTCAGCTGGCGGCTGGTTCTGTGAAAGTGTCATCTAAAAGTCTGAATTCTGACAAAATAGTTTTGCATTAGAAGGCAGACTGTGAAGCTAAATTTCAAGTCACGAATCAAAGTATTATGTGGGTAGTTTAAGTAGTGGGAACTCTTCAGGAATATAAAGGCAGTTGTTCCTTTAAATCAGATATGGAGTTCAATTTTTTTATTCCTCTGTGTCCTGAAAGGGAAGGTTTGCTATTATTCTGTATCAACCTAACATCGAATATGAAAACGATGTTTCTAAGGGTAGTGCTTATAGGGCAGAAGATACTGATTGTGTCAGAGGAAAAAGTGTAGCATGAGAAGGAGCATTTCTGCAAGTACAAATGTAACTAAATGAACAAGAGGCCCAAGCAATGCAGTGTCCTTAGATGTATAAGAACGTGTGATACAAAGGCAGTGGAATCCCTGCAGGGGACATTGCTGAAGTTGGTAACAGAACTGCTCAAGTTTGGATATTAATGCTTGCAGAATGATGTGGGTGTATTGCTGGCATCTCAGGAACCACTAGATAATTTTGAAGTGTAGTAAACCTGTGTAATAAGAGATTTGGTGAACTTGTTTGGCAGAAAGTAAACAGTATAGGAATTGTTACAGAGACAGTCACTTTCTGATGTGGTTCTATTGTTGGAATAAGAGACCTATATTGGGAAGATGCAACAATACTTCTTATGGAAAGGATTTTTCAGTCTCCACGCAGACTGTAGTTGACTAAGAAGGAGATAACCTAAGAAAATTGTTCCTAATAGGTTTGCACCATTATATAGTAATGTCCCCTGCTCAGGGAAGCAATTCAAATTGGCAAATCTGGGAAAGTGTGAAGTCATCTTCTTTATCCCAGGCACCTACTACAGCTGCAGAGTGCACTCAAGTCACAGAAAACTTCACAAGGTAGAAGTTAAAGATGGCTCAATTCAACTGGAAGTAAAATCAGAAGTCATTACTGCCATGGATAGTGAAATGGTTTGCCACAAGATGTGTTGGATTCTCCGTTGTTTCATGTCTATGAAGACAGAGGTTTATTGCCATAGGTTTGCAGAGTCTTGGTGTGCGAAATGTTGAAATGCATGACTGGTGTTACATAGAGCAGAATAAGTTACCAGGATGGTTTGTTGTGGAACCCAGCCTAATAGGATTTTAAAGATAGTAGTGATAAAAATCACTGGAGTATGTATGCTTGTTGCTTCTGGGAAGTTCTTTTTCTGGAGAGAAACTCATCTCTGGAAAAAGTGTTTTACCTGTTAGTGTGGTATCACTTTAGTATGTAGCCATCCTAATTTTTTTATTGTGTTATATTAAGCTCAGTAACGTTTCTGGTTTTCTGTGGGCTGGCTGATCTTATGAATATTAAAACATTATGGAGTTTTGGTGTTCTTTTTAAAAATCACTAAATGCCCCTTAGGTAATTTTTTTCTGTTCTAAATGTTTATGTGTTTTAGAAGAGTAGCTGCTATTGTAGCTGTGTAGGCTGTTGGCACGCAGCCTTTTAATATATGTTAAAAATTTTAATTATGTTTTGGTTGGTATCTTGCTTTTTTTTTTTTTTTTTCCCTCCTGGATGTTATGAGGCTGATGCATCACTCCTGCACTACAGATACTCCTATGCAGAGATTTCAGTAGTTTTAAATAAATCATGCCTCCGTGCTCATATTGTTCTCTTTTCACACTCAAACCAAAGAAGGTGCGGGGGTGTGTGTATATTAAATTACACTTAAAGTGTAATTAAGTTTTTCTTTCAGAAAAAAGTAAGTGAGGAATTATTCAGAAATAAGTTCTGCAATGGGAGGGAGATGGTAGAGGACTGAAGGTGGTTTCACATTTGGATAGGAAAACTAATGCAGTAAATGAGGTAAATGTTTGCATATTGTCAGATTTATTGTGGTCAAGCTAAAACATCAGGAAGACCAACTTTACTGTGTTAATTGTATGGTATAGGTTTTTTAGCAATTGATTGTTTGGCAAATGCACACTTCTCACTGGGAGATCCGAGTATGCCAGATGAGGTTCTTAGGTTGATTTTTGTTAGCCTTAGTAAGTGTGTGCAAGTCATGATTGCTTTAACACTGATATGTGCAGGGGATACTGGGAACCCAACTTCAATACTGATTGAATGGGATGAGGAGCTTTGGCTTCCCTAATATAAAAAGCCGTAGTATCACAAAAATGTGATACTTTCTTCCATTTCTAAAGTATAAAATAAACTTGCCAACTTTTTGTTAAATTCATGTTATGCTTGATATGCTGCAGTTTCTAACTTCTTGCAGGTGATTTTTCAGCATAAGGAAAAAAGAATTTAATAGAACTTCTCAAAATAGCTACGTCTTCCTGAAATGTTTTAAGGCTGTTAAAAGAAATAGGATAAATCATTATTATGGGAAAGAAAAACACTCTGTTTCCAGTGGAGATGGAGATTAACAACTGAATTGGAATTAGGGTATATTTTGTGATGAAATATCACAGTCACGGGATAAAGAAATCCCAAACGAGACAAAGCACTCCATGCAGGCATTAGTGTGGTAATGGACAATAGATGAAATATTTAAATACATCATATGATTGCAATTTGACATATGAGTCTGGGATAAAAATGTATGATATGCACTAAAACAAAATGCCTAAAATATCTAAAGAAAGATATGCGTTCTATTGAAAGTACAGTGTAATAAAGCCAGAAACCTTATAGTGTTGTAAAATTTTTATATCTCTAAGGTAGGAAAGTATGACAGATATAGTGTAGAAGGTGGTGTTTTCACCAACTATGCATTTTAAGACCGTGCTGCTTAACTTACACTTCTGAATCACTTCCATTGTGATTTAAAAAAATCAGACTGTACTTCCTGGAATCATGTAATATTTACATAATGATATCCATACTCTATATGTATTGCTTTATATATGTGTGAGCAGTATGATTTAACTCTGACAGTTGGGATTTTTTGGGGGTGGGTTTTGTTTGTTTGGTTTTGTTTTTTGTTTTTTTTTTTTACATTAAGACCTTAAAATGCAGACTCTTGGAAGCTTGAAAAGTGTATGCATTAGACACCTACTTTTCTCTCGTTGCCTGGTTATCTGCAGAAATGACAGTATGTAAGTTCTATAAGAATATTCTACTGGTGTGCTTAGAGCTCTTCTCAGGAGCCAGTGAGTGGGGTCTTACTGTTTTTATAGAGTGTTCATGGGTACTTGTTTTGCTCAGGCGTGAGTAGGGAGGTACTTAAAGGGGAAAAGGTGTCCCTGTGGGGGTGGGGGAAGCACACAGGCTGGAATGTGATGCCTTCATAGCAGAGTTCCCATGTGCTCCAGGAGAAAACTGGTTTACATTGCTGTGATGCCTTACTTTGAAATGAGAGCCTTGTGTTGCGGTACCATGCATGATAAGGACAGCTTTTCTTGCCCAAAACATGCTTTGTAAGTTGAGGGTGAGGAGAGGGGTGCCCTTACAGACTAGCTCTAGAAACAAAAATGAAAACCTGTATTTCTGTGAGGTCCTTCCTGCCCTGAAATGGAAACCTTACCAATGCTTAGGAATAAAGGGAAAACTGCCTAGTGGCACCAATATAATTGGAATGAAGAGAGAAATGTAAAAACTCTGAGACGTCTGAGAAAGTGAGACGTTGCTTTGTAGTTACGCCACCTGCCCGCACTCTCAAGAAGTAGAATATTAGGTGTTTTATATCTCTACTTCCTCAGTATCTGTACAATATTTAAAACATATATAAGTGATCTTTTCCAGACCGACACGAAGCCAACGCAGTAAGAGAGTGTTTTGTCAGGAGGGAATGTGCGTCATAAACAGAGAACTTACAGGGTCCAGATTTGAAACTTTCTTTAATTCTGGGACACTTTGAACTTTAACTCTTTTCTCACCTTCCTGAGAACAGAGGTTCCACTAGCTATTCTG